ATAAACAGTTGATAACACATCCAACACATCAAACACATGAATACATTGATAACATTATGTATACATTATTGCTGTCATTCATTGATATTCACATACAATAAAAGCTATCATTTTGTTTGAATTGTTTCATTAAACTTCATATTGTTTATAATTTAAATAATTTCAAACTATTGTTTATTTAATCAAATTTATTTCAAGAAATCAGATTTTATCATAAAACAAGAAACTCCCAATTATAGCAATATATTATTTTTGATATAAATTTATATATTGAATAAAATTAAACAAAAATTAAGATAAATTTTAAATTATTCAAATAGAGATTATATTTTTTTTGTACTATATTTCTTATTTATTGTCATTTTATTACTATATMTATATATATATATATATATATATATATATATATGTGTGTGTGTGTGTGTGTGTGTGTGTGCCTTATCAGTTTATATTAATATTAAGAGAAATTGCAATTTGAAATTCAAATAACAAAATAAGACATTTTAAACGTAACATTAAGCCTGAGATCTATACTGTATTTGCAATATACCTAACTTTGCCACAAATATTTAGTAATGTCGCGAATTTCAGTGATATAAGTCATCAATATTATTAAAGCAACTTATCTTTTATGTGGTAATACAATAAACTTATATTGATTTTTATATCAAACTGCATGTCAAATGAAAACTCGTTTTGACGTTTTTGTTGTATTATATCATACAATACTATTCTTTTTTAAAAATTAAACAAATAGTTTGATACATACCATAAAATATCATACATATAATAGTTTCATTTTATTGATATTTTTCCAAATAATTTATTGATGTACTGTATACTGTATTAGTCAATTTAATAGGATTAAAAATTGCGTTAAAAACTAAATATTACAATATTTTTTATAAACAATTAAAGAATAATATTAATACAAAAACTTATAAGTATTATAAATAGTTTTAAATTCTAATATCAATTAAAAAATTCCAGATTTACTATAAAAATATATACAATAGATCTATACTTTCATTGAATAAAAAAAGAAAATAAAGCATAAAATGTTAATTATTAATAATAATGTTTTCAATATGCGTGTAGTGATTGTTTAATTTGGTATAATTAATCACTGTCTATGTTTATTTTATTATTTAATAAAATCTTTGATTAAACACAAATTTTTAAATATTTTAAAAATAATTTCCGTATTTGATATTGACATTGATAATTATATAATTTATAGAAATGTTGTTTATAAAATGAAATATAAACGAATTTGATTTCAGATCTTCAAATGCATTTTAATTTAAATAATAATTGCATTAATAATTTTAATATAAAAGATATTTTGATAAATTTATGAAATAAATTAATTGCAAATATGTTATAATAAGTATTTTTATTAATTACTTAAAAACTGTCCAAAAATTATATTTTATTCAATATTATTCAAGTAATAAATAGCTCAGTAATATATTCAATTGTAAATATGGTTTTATACAACAAAATTTACAATATTTAATTTATCTTAAATAGTATTATTGTTTATATAAATTAATACTAAAAATTTATTTAAAAGGAAGACTCTTCAAAATATTGTGATTTTAAAGTATTAACTTAAGGCAAACAATAAATGAGTTTATTATTAAATATAATAATATAATTTATAAATAATTGCAATTTATTTGCTTTTTAAGTGACTTTAATATTAAAAATCATTAATAACACAAAATTCAAGCAATTATCACATAATTCAACACAATTTACCTTTAAGTTAGTAATTAAATGAGATTTCGTTTTTTTCAAGTGTCTTTAAATATAATGATTGAAAAATAAATTATTATATATATACTACTATTTAAATAAATTTGAAATAAATAAACATAATAAAAATTTATATTCAAATTATATTTTAAAAATTTCATAATAAAAATTAATAAATAAAAGCTGCCTGGTTAAAAGTTATAATTATTAGACTTTTTATATATTTTTATGCACTTAATAGTGTGAAAACCATATTTTCTTAATTTACAAAATGCAAAGTTTTGAAACCAATAATATTTATTTGATTTGTTTTTTATATTTTTAATAAAATAGTCTATTATTTGAATACATGCAATATATTTTATAATATAATTGCATAGATTCATGCAAATGCAATTTGTTTTAAAACAGTCGCTTAAAGGTACATATGATAAACACAATTTATATACCTATAGAATGAAATTTTTGATTATAAAACATTATATTTACATAAAAATATTTGATTAAATATAAAAATATACTTTTTATAAATCGGTAAACAGTATACTGTATATTTTAAAATTTTTGTATTAGTGTGTTTTATAATACAATTTTATTAACTAATAAAATTATAACAATACATAATAAAACTAAAACTAAAACTAAAACTAAAAATTAAAATATAAATAAATAATATTGTAATTGTTAGACTCCAAATTATCTGATTTACGGTTATCAATATTAATCTTTGAATTAGATATCTACTGAAAACATATTAATTATGTTAAATTTTTGCAAAATATAGTTTAATTTTACAAAAACACATAAGAATATATTTTTCATAAATAACTGTTCTTTATATATAAATCAATAGTTTGTAATGGCTTTTATAAACAATTAAAGTATATACTTCATTGATTTATAAAAATTATTAAATCATTAATAAATACTGTATTAAAATGTTTAAAAAGACAGTTTTAAGGTTAAACATTGTCATTGAGTTTGTTAGTAAAATTATATTCAAAACATATACTTAATGATCACCGATCTAGCATTACTTATGATGTAATTTTAAATTTTTCTTTATTTTTAAACACTAAATGTCTTTAAATTAATTTAAAAATTATTTAATATAATATAATAATTTGTCTTCAATAGGAATAACTTTGAAAATTATATATTTCTAATATTTAGTTTATTTTATTATATATTTTATTTCATATTATAATTATCAATATATGAGACACATATTTTGAACAATCTTTATAAATAATAATTATATTGTTATTGGAATCAAATGATAGTAAAGTTGCTGAAAGTTGACCAAAAATAATCAAAATCAATGCCATCAGTAATATTAGTTATTTCCCCAAACAGTGTACAGTATTAGTGTTTGTGTTATGTTAAGTGATATTTGTGACAAAATTGTATTTATTTTATAACATTTTCTGTTTGCAAACTAATAATACTTAAACTAACAAATATTTTTTACCCCAATTCAACAATAATTTATTAACTTATAGTTCAATAAAACGTAATATTATATTGATTGTCGTCCAATAATAGTTTGATTTAATTATTAGTAAACTTAAATAATGTATTTTATGTCTAAAGTAAGTTTAGTATATATATACAATATACATTAATATATCTTTATTTAAAAGATTATTATTTTTATTTAATTTTAAACAGTTTTAATATAAAAATAATATTAAATTTATTTTGAAGTCAACAGTCAAAAAATAATATAATATTATTAATATTATCAAAAGCTTAATACTATCAACTAAGCTATAAAATAATAATATAAAGTAAGGTATAGCAAAATCTCAAATGTAATAACATTTACAATTTAGTGTATTATCCTTGAATTATAGTATTTAACAACTTTTAAATAAGATTTTTTTGCATTTAAACAAATTATTGTTATTGTGTTTTGATTATAATACATTTGGTTTGTCTTATTTAATGGTTAATTACAATTATATTTTTGTATATTGCTTAATTAACAAGCTTAAATACTAAATCTTATTAACAAATATTTTCATTGAATTTTCATATAAATTAATTTTCTGCAAACAAAAATAAAAACAATATATTTACATATATATATATATACACACATACACACACACATACATAAATACATACACACGATTTTGTAATTTTAATTATTTAGTAATCATAATTTTTATTAAAATGTTGCATAAATAATATAAATACAAATAAAGTGATTGTCATAAAAATATTGTCTTTATAACACATAACAATTATAAATGAATAATGAGAATAATTATTTTATATGTTTATATCGATTAATTTATATTAAAGTTTTATAATTTAGTAAATTGTTTATATGAAAGTTTAAAATTATTATTCTTTATTTTCAACTATTTTTTAAAAATTAGTTGCAATTAGTAATATATTTTTAAAAATTAATGTTTATTATTTAAATGAAATGCTTTTGTAATTGTAATTTTGTGATTTATTGTATATATTGTATCATATATAGGATGCTATCAATAAGATTTGTATTTGTTTAAACCACTATCAATACTAATTTAAATTTTGATATACAATTCATATACAAAAACAAAATGGCTATTTTTAAATGCCCTATATCATTTGCATTAATTCATTGCTATTATTTTATAGCAAATAGTAAATTACTATTATTATTATATTGTATGACTAGACTGAATGTTTTAAAAATGATTACACAAAAATAAATACTATGAAACCATTTAAAACAAAAAATAATATAATAATATTTCTATTTTATATAGAATTGTTTAAACAGAAATATGACTATTTTATCAAATAAATAATTTTTAGAATATTTTAATATATTAATTGTATTTGTATTTATCATATTTTATAATTTATTATTAAAATATCGTTATTTAGGTATAAATATGTTTTTTATTTGTGAAATTCAAACTAATATATGAAATATATTTGATTATACAAATAGAGTACATTATTATGTAAATACAAGCAAAATATTGAATATATCATATAGTTATTGGCACTTCTCATAAGATTACTCAGTAAATACTCACATAAACTCATTTCAACTATAGTTATAAATCATATAAAACACTTTGAAGTCTATTCTATATAATAAATATATTTTAAAAGAAATAAATAAATGTTACTATAAAATAATACTAACAATCATAATATTTAATCAAATGTTATTTTAATGGATAGATGTATGGGATGGTTATGTATGTGAATGTATGACATACTTGACATACCTGTACTTGTGTTTGTTGTGAGTTTTTCCCAGTGGACGGTTGTATGACTTTATCGCAATACGATCCCTCCAAGAATATTAGTCCGGAAGGTCGGGTCGAGGAATCGTTTTCATAATAGAAGAGTATGTTCTGGAAGAGTACAAACCATCTTAATTGCCATTTGCTGTTATCTGATGTCCTTTTGAATAGATATCCTCGAAGACCATTATCGTGATGTGCTTTCTCTGAGAGGGCCAACAGTTGCAGATCATTCATACGTAAACTTCTCTGCATTTTTTCTTTTTAGTTGATTTGCTATCACTTTTTGATATCTTATGGTATGACTTATTTGATTAGAGAAATGGTTTTCAAATCTAACATTTATTGGATATCTTTGCTAAAGTCAACCATTAACTGTTCCCTCAGTTACACTCACTTCGAGCATAGCTTCAAATGATACCATCATTTCATTAATAAATACGTGAATTGTCTGCCTTAACAATTCAGGCATATATTGAAACCTCTATATTATAGATAAAATAGATTATTAATGTTAGATTGATTTATAGATACATATTGTTATCGACACTCACATTGTCACTAATCATTAAAGTCATCATTGCTTTTAATCATTTTTTCATTTTCACAAATATTTTTTCGCATAATTAATATATTAATACAGTATTAAAAATAAAAGTTTTAAACTGTTTTAAATTTTAATTGCTTTATTATTTTTTATTAAAACAATATTATATGTAAGTATTAACATTTTAATTGATTATAATTTACATTTGCATGAAATTTGTTTATAGGTTTAAAAGAATTAATATTAATTGCTTAACGAAAACATTGTAATTTCATTAATAGATATTTATGTAATTTATTAAATTGATTATCAAAATTTTAAAATCAATACTAATAATTAAGTTATTAAGTCATTTTCAGACACTTTTATCACATACTTGAAGTTCAATTGTTACAACTACTGGTTGGTGTAGCACTTGTTTGTGGGTCTCTTATAGGCTTCATATCCCTAAACTATATGAGAAATACAGTCAAACAATCAATCGAAAGGTGCATTGAGTGCACAGTCGCTCAGCACTGGCTCTTAAATACACTGATCCCCACTCTCTTACAATGTGTTTGTATGTCAAGTGTTCAATTGAATCATCCAAATCATAGTTTACCCGAAACCAAACCGCATCTATAAATTATAGACTATAATAGATATACTTTTCAACCAAATATTTGTGGTTATAATATATATTATTTAAATAATAAAAAATACTAAAATTAATGCAATCTTTTCTTTATTATAACTTTATTTTCTTAATTATAAATTCTTTCGTTCATTTGCTTAAGTATTTTATTTAATTGTTTAACTATTTTATTTAATGGTAAAAAATACATTTATACACATTACAAATATAACTAAAAGAATATTAATTATAAATTAAGTTTTTATTTTTATTTTAATTAATATTTCTAATTTTTATGAAATATATTATCAGTTTATATTTGTATCAATATATATATATATATATATATTATGTTCGTATAATTTTTAATTTTACTTAAGATCGTAAATCATATTTAAAAAATCAGAATAATTATTGAATAAATGAAAAAAATGTTTAGTAATTTGAAAGACATTTCTATAGGTATTTTATAGTTGAATAAAACCAAACCGAAAACAGTTGACAACTCTATTACAGTTCAGATACATCTATTAGTTGCACTTCTTCTCTCTTTATTGATTTCATATATGTTTTGCTTATACATTGTTAAGCATTATATCATATTTATATATAACATGTTTTTGCTTTCTATTTAATTATTAAAAAATTAATTTATATGATTAATGATATCATTAAATAAGCAAATGTTTTTTTAATTTTCCGCTAATATTTTTAACAAATTTGATTAAAATTTTGATTATTCTTAATATAATGCATAATGTTATTTTAATTTATTATTTATTTGATAATAATAATAATAATAATAATAATAATAATAATAATAATAATAATAATAATAATAATAATTAATAAAAATTATTGTTATTATATAAAAAATTGTTAAAATTTTAGATGATAACAATACATAATTATTATTTTTATATTTTAAATAATATGTTTTCAATGTAAATAATAACATATTTAATTTAATTAAATTAAAAACTTAAATATACATTTTGAATACAGTATATAAAAATTGTGTATTTTCAGTATTTAAATTAATAAAAATTAAATTGCTTTGCCTGTAACAATTACATTATCCTAATTTATTTTCCTAATTTAAAAGCATCATTACAAGTTTGTAATAATTTTTTATAGACAATAATACAAGAAAAATATAGATAATACAAAAATACAAAACTAATTTATAATTGTGTGTAATTACAGTAATGTAATTAAATCTGAAAAAATTAACACTAAGAATATTATCCATAACACAAATATATAATACAATTGCATTCAAATATAAAAAATAAGAATTATATGCAAAAAAAACTCACTAATACTATAGCAACCAATTTAGTGTATATAACAAAATATCAATACAAAAGTGGTTTTATTGTAAAATATTGTTTATATTCATTTAAAATGTTTAAATAGTGATAAAGGAATTAATATTATCATATCTTAAATAGTTATGGATTCACGAATCAGTAGTGCCAGAATTAAGCATGGTCAATTTACTAACACAATATATACCTGGATAAAAGATGGTCTGTATTATTGATTTATATTCTATACTATTTATATTATGAAAATCGTTTTAATTTTATATGGATTTTATGTGTATATACTATATACTTTATACATAAACTTTTATAAAAATTTTTTTAAAAAAAAATTAGATTTATTTATTTCAATATATTTTGTAGTATTGAAAAGATTACAAAACAAATGCAATGTTTAATGCGAAATCTAAAATAATATTATACTAGTCTTAAAATAAAATAATTGATAATATGATTTCTATATTATATAAGTTAATGAGGTTTCAAATTACTAGAACAATAAAAAAGGACAGTTAGTTCTCAAGTGTTATGACTCTACAAAAGGTTTTAAGTACAGTATAATTATTAATACTACAAATTATTACTTTAATAATTATATCCCACTTTAATATTGTTTTTTAAATATTTATTTCTTTTTATTACTATTATTATTATTATTATTAAATCTTAAAATAACATTAGACTACAAAAAACTATCAATACTATATATCTTGTGTTGTTTACTTAAATTCAGTATTAAAGTATTAAGACATGCTTTTAAATTTAAARACATATAGAAATAATAAATGAAAATGTTGTATTTATTTAGATTAAAATAGATTTTTGTAAAATATACACAAAATTAATAATAAGCATTTCTGTAAAATATTTTTAATAAGTCAAGCTAATAATTTTTATTTATAATGTTAAATTTATTTTTACAAGTTAAAAGTAAATATAATTATAACTAAAATGTATAATAATAAAATGTTTATGTAATTGTAATATAAGATATTAACTAAATGACAACAATTTATAGTAATGCAGTATTATAATGACATGGATTTACTGTAAGTCTATGATAATTAAAATTTATTTATTGTATAGATAGAAATAGTATTTCTAATTTTTCTAGTATTTTATCAATTTTATATACATATATACATAGAGATGTAATTTATTATTATACAAATAAATATTTTATAAAACCATTGAAAATAATATTGGTTAATGTAAATGCAATGTAATGGCAAATGTAAAATTTGTAATTATTTCATGTTTTTTATTAACGATTATGTTTATAATAGAATTCTAATTAGAATTTATATGTAAATTATGAGAAATAATTTTTATGTAATTTCTATGAAACATCAAAAATGCATCATTTTTAGTCTATTTATAATAAGAAAATATTATCACAATTTTATACAAATATAAAATTAATTTATTATATTTTTACTAAATTGTTGATTTATGCAACTTTTATATTTGTATTATTATATTTGCATGATTTTTATTAAAATTAATACTTTGTATTTTGTTAAAACTTTAATTTATATTTGAACAATAATATATATTTTATATTATACTTGTGTTAAACTTTTAATACTGTATTTAATACACATATGTTATATGTTATGATTAATGCATTTAAATCTAATAATATTAAATTAATTAAAAACTATATTTGTTGAATGCATCAGTTTTTGTGTTTTGCAAGTTTTAACGGAAATAAAATTGAGTTTAAATTTGAATTTACAGGAAATTATAAAGAAGTCATTGGTTTTCTGAGCGAACAAATTGCTGCAAATCCTAATTCAAGGGCCGGTCTATCACTACTGGCCTATTGTTACTATTATTTACGTGATTTTGTTAGTGCCGCCAATTGTTACGAACAATTAGTTCAGTATTATCCCGATGTTGAACAATACCATATAAATTATACGCAATCCCTATATCAGGCCTCTCTATATGAGGAGGCAATGAAAGCGTCGTTTAAAATTGAAGAGAAGTTTGGGTCAAATAGTCAAACAATTAAATTACAGACAGCTATCAAATATTGTGAGGACGATGTGTCTGCTGCTAAAAGTCTTGTGGATCAGATTAGTAATGATGATCCGGACAAAGAGGTCAACATGGCTTGTATTTTGTATAAACAGGACAAATATGATGAGTCTATTACTAAGTTTAACACATGTTTGCAACTCAATGGCTTTCAACCCGATATATGCTATAATATAGCTCTATGTCATTATAGACTTAAACAATACCCAAACGCATTGAAACACATCGCGGATATTATTGAAAAGGGTATTAGAGAGCACCCGGAGCTTAGCGTTGGAATGACAACTGAAGGCATTGAAATGAGAAGTGTTGGAAATACATTAACACTTCATGAGACGGCATTAGTGGAAGCATTTAATTTGAAAGCCGCCATCGAGTATCAACTAAAGAACTACGAGTCAGCACTGGAAGCGTTGACTGATATGCCTCCCCGTTCTGAGGAAGAGTTAGATGCCGTCACTCTTCATAATCAGGCGCTCATGTCTATGGAAACGGATCCAACTGAAGGTTTTGAAAAACTACAGTTCCTAATTCAACAAAATCCATTTCCTCCTGAAACGTTTGCCAACCTATTGCTACTCTATTGTAAGTACGAATACTATGATTTGGCCGCCGATGTCATGGCTGAGAACATACACTTCACATATAAGTATTTGAGTCAATATTTATATGAATTTCTGGACGCCGTTATCACACAACAAACATCACCGGAGGACGCGTACAGAAAGTTTGATGAGATGTCATCAAAACATACAGATTCACTGCGCAAACTAATCAAACAAATACAAGAAGCAAAACAATCACAAAATGAAGAGGCAGTTAAAAAGCTAACCAATAACTACAACAACACACTTGAACTCTATCTACCGGTGCTTATGGCACAGGCAAAGATTTATTGGGATATAGAGTACTACACGCAAGTGGAAAAGGTCTTCAGAAAGTCTGTTGAGTTTTGCAATGACTTTGATGTCTGGAAACTCAATGTAGCGCACGTCCTATTCATGCAGGTCTTACATACCTTTCCTCTCATAATTCAATCAATTATATTTCATTATTTAAAACAACTGTATTTATACTTTAGTAAATCATTATAAGTTATTACAGATCTCAACATTTAAATATAATTAAATTCAATTTCTAGAATGAAAAATAAATAAATAATTATAAATTAGTTTAAGCTTTTTTGCTAACTCAACATTATATAGTAGATATTGTATAATGTATAGTATATACTTTTTATATAATGTATACTAATTTGATAAATTTCAATTAATTAATATAAGTCAAATCTATATAAAATATTTAACATAAAATAATCAATATAGCAATATGCCTATTTTATTCTAAAATTAATATAATTGTAAAACTTAGGTCTAACTAAAGATACTAAAAATAATTTTATATATTATATAAGTAATTTGTTAGAATATGTTTAAACATTTGACACAATTTTATATAAAATTGTGACAAAAATACTTATCATTTTTTTGGCTATATATTTTCAAACTACTAGTACTAAACAAATTGAATTTTTTGTATATTTATAAAACAGTTGTTGTAAAATAATTTTTTTATATATTGTAATTCCGGTACACAAGAGTAAAGAGATGCTTAACTTTAAAGTATATAATATTAAAATTCTTTAAAATTTTGTACAAATGTACAAATATTTAAAATATACAAAATCTTATATAAAATTATATACGTTTTCAGCGTTTTTCAATTGTGTGTATTGAATAAAAAATACAATTAAAGTTGTAATATTTTGATATAGTGTAAATTTATAATGCCATTGATATTTTTTAGTAATAGTAATTTAAATTGAGTTATATATTTTATAATTTGCATTTGCAACCAATAATTTATATATTACAAAGAAATTGTAAATTATTATGGGAAAAAATTCAAGTATAATATTTTAAAATTTAAATAAAATAATTAAATTTATTATTTATTATTACAAAATATCAAGATATTGATCTAAAATGTATTTTATAAACTGTATAACAACTCACTATTTAAGAAGTGTTCTTAAAAATATAACAAATATAACAAATGTTTACAATTTTATTATAATTTATAGTTTTTGAGATCAAAAACATCTTTGACTCTGAATCCCTGTGCTATAATRTACATAATAAACAATATAAGATTCGTTAGTACAAAAAGTTGCTTTAACTCTAATATCAATAGTTTGAAAGTTACAAACAAAATACTTTATTAATAATTTTTAAATAATTTTTTTRAWATATATAAATTTAATAAGAATTTAATAAATTTATTTTTGATTTAATTAGGAAAATAAGTTCAAAGAGGCGACAGGTTTTTATGAGCCATTAGTGAAAAAAAGTTACGACAATATATTGAATGTGAGTGCAATAGTTTTGGCCAATTTGTGTGTGTCTTACATAATGACTGGACTTAATGAAGACGCAGAAGAATTGATGCGAAAGATAGAGAAAGAAGAGGAACAGTTGGCGTATTCAGAGCCAAACAAAAAGATATTTCACTTATGTATTGTCAATCTAGTGATCGGAACCCTGTATTGTGCGAAAGGCAACTACGAGTTTGGTATTTCCCGAGTCATTAAAAGTCTGGAGCCGTACAGCAAAAAACTGGGTACCGATACCTGGTTTTACGCTAAACGCTGTTTCCTATCGCTATTGGAAAACCTATCGAAACAAGTTATCTGTGTTCGCGACTCTATAATCCAGGAATGCCTACAATTTCTGACCCATTGTGAAGAACATGGAAACAATATTAAGACTATAGTCGAGGCACCGCTTGAATTGGAAACATTAAATCCCGCAAAAAATTGTGTCACTTATGAGGCAAGACTTCTTAAGGCACTACTTATTAATATTACTTCTTAAATATTATTTTTAAATAAATGTCAATTCAATATTAAAAATCAAGTTTTATATTAATATTTTTTATTCAATTATTTTGTATAATACTTAATCCTTTAAATACTTAATATAATGTGTATGTGTTTTGTAAATCTTTTTAAATTTATTTTAATTAAACTTTAGAGATTTACCTGGATAACAAATAATATAGAATAAATTAGTATCCATAGTAACATAAATTTGATAATACATAAGGTATTAACAACAAAAAGTTTATATTGTATTGTAGTTTAACATTAATATATTGATACAATGTCTGTACTATAGTCTATACTACAATATATGATATTGTAACGCAAAATTGAGTATTATTGCAATTAAATTGTAAATGTAAAATCAACTAAATTATAATAACCATGAGCATTTTAATATATAACAATTTATCCATGTACTTATATAATGTGTATGAAATACAAATGCTAAATAATTGAAAGTATGGCACACATTGAATAAATCATATATATATTTAAATAACGCTAAGGTGTGTATAATATTATTAATGTCGATGTGATCAGTGTTTTAATTATGAAGTTATATTACATTATAATTTGTATGCAATTTGGCATAAATTATATATATTATACTAATGACAAAATAAACTGATTAACTTATAAATCATGTATGTTATGTTAATATTTWWWAAAAAATAAATTAATGATATATTTTTGACTATTATTCTAATATATATTAAAAGCAAACTAAAAAGTAAATTAAATAATAATAATATTTCTGCCATTCAGTGCTTTTGTCTTTTAACACAATTGTTTAAAATGTCTCGTCTGGGATCAGGTGGTCGTTCATTCCTCGATGAGTTATTATCAGATGATGTCACTGATAAGCCAATAAATACATCGACGAAAAGAAAATCCGTCAGATTTTCGGACAACGATGAAAACTCTTCTGATTTTTTTACCACAAATACAACATCAGTGACACCGAATCGGTCGACAATATCGTCATCAAAAGATGGTCAGAAAAACATCGATCCATTGGAGTGGCCGACAAATGATGGGTCAAATGCATCAAAATCATCTACAAGACAGAAGACGAGCAAATCTGATTGGTTGGGATTAGACAGCGATGAAGAAATGAGTCGAGGCTTTGTACAATCAGCTCAACCATCCGTAACGAGATCTGTCAGTAATGATTGGCTTAACACTGGACTCAACTCTAGAAAGAATAGACCATCAAATGAACCATTAAAGCCATCAACTGATCTTAACAATGAAAAAAGTGACGACAATTCATGGCTTTCAATACGAAAGAAAGCCGAAGAATCCAAAATTAAATCCGACGAACAAATAGATGAACAAAAAGAAACTAAAGATCAAAGAAATGACAACAAAAATCAGTCAAATGATATATCTATTAACAAAACAGTGATCGACTCCACGACTCCAGTGATTAGCAATACGACTGTCCATTCAGTTGCAAATATTCAATATTCAGATCCAGTGCTCCTCTCATCCAATACTGTGGACAATACGTCGTCAGTAATGCTTTTACAAACTCAAGTAAGTATATAAACAATTTAAACAAATACTTGTTTACAATTACTATATGTTTTCGTATATTTTATCGAAAATTTAATTATTATTTGTGTTAAAATTCTGGTCATAATCTTTACAACTTTTTTTTTATTACATTACGAGTTATTTTAAAATAAGAAACTATCAATTTTAAAAGTATAACTCACTATTTTAAACGTCAATTAAAAATTTATTACAATTTATTTTAAGATCATTAAAAACAATTTAAATTTTTATATTAAATTCATTGTCAATATATACTATATATTATATAGAATCAGTAAACCTATTGTATTGTATATATTTTTATAAAATTAATATATTCAATTTTTTACTTAAATATTTTTATCAATACGTTATAAAAATGGCATATAAACTGCATTTATTAAAGTTGTTTATATAATAAATTAAAATATATAGGTTGATGCTAAATATAAATGTTAGTTATTTTTAAAATTAGATTGAATTTTATTTTTATCTTTACTATGAAATATAATCTAAACTATGAAAATTAATATCCATTGAAATTAAGCAATTTCCTTATATAATAAAATATTTATAAAAAACACAATTTCTCTGTATTATTATTATAATAATTATTTTTATACACAATAATTTAGATATAACTAGTGTTAAGAGTTGTTAGAATTTAATGTTAAATTAGTGAAAGCTTAATAAAACTTGAATTCCAAAAATTTATAAAACATGTAACTAATAATAATGTCTTAATTTATAATTTTGATAATAATTAGTGTTTTTAACATTTTAAGCCATAGTAAATAAAAATGAGTTATAGTTCTAATCTTTAGTAAATTTTTTATCTATAAAAATTATATAAAAACTTAAATTTTTATTAAATCTTCAAAAATACTGAAATTTTCATCACTAGATATAATCCATATTTATATTTAATATTACATAATATTGTACTGTAGTTGATATAATATATTTATTACCAAATAAATTACACATAAAACACAACATTTTATTAATTAATATTACAAACATAGGTAAAAATGTTGGAATTGGAAAAAACATATTTACAGCAAACTCTGCAACAAATCAAATCAAATCACAGCCAAGAAATCATTATAATGACTGAATTGCATGAGTGAGTCCTATATATATATATATATATTATATTTGTTCATATATTATATATATATATATATATGTATTTATAATATCACTTATAAGTATATATTGCATATGTTTGCATCATATTATTATTATATATTATATCTATTATTAGATTAATATTAATATTTATATTTTATTTATCTCATTTATCATCACTTTTCATATTATGTTTGATATATTATTATTATTATCTTATATCGAGTCTAACCAGAATTATTGTACAGCATATGATAAACTTAATTAATATTTATAAATTTTATAAATTTTATGGCAACTTAAATCTTGAAAAAATATATATAATATACCAAAAACAGTATTAACACAAAATAATATGAATGCAATTTTAGTGGAGTAAAAGTCATTAAAGTCAACAAAGTATTTGTAAGTGTTTTAATATCCTTCAGCTTTAAATATATAGGCTTTGAAAACATTAATGAGAAAGTCTAACAATGAATAAAAAAGTAATTGGATTAACTTATTTATTTATTCATTAAAATAACAAAACTCATGTTAAAACTTATATTTAGTAATGAAAAATGCAAACAACTTATATAAATACAAATGAATACACCGATGTATTACGTTATTTGATAAATAAGAGAAATAATTTTTCATTAAAATATAACATTTATTTATTAACACTTTTTAGTAGTAAAAATGATACAATTGTATGTGAAATTTGTTTAAAATATGTTAATTTTGTTTGACTAACAATTCAAGCAAATTTAAACAAAAATAAAATAATACTAATTATTAATATTATTGCATATTTCAAAAAATGTAGACAACAAATAAAAATGACTACAGATATGTATAAACGACATGAAGAAATGTAAGTCATTTATTATTAAATATTTTTTTTAAATCTATATTATCAAATATAATTTATATAAAACAATACATACAACATAAAGTTTATAAAATAAATACAATTTTAATTATAAAATTTTAGTTAAAAATTGAAATATTTAATATATTCTTTAAAATGAAATTTTATAATTAATTTATGGTTCATTTAAAATAAATACTTTTTAAATAAATTTATTTTTTAAATTAGATGAGAGGTTGGCATATATTATAAATATCATATTATACTACTTAACTGTATTATTACTATAATATTTATCATTTAGTCAGCTTTAAAAAATAAAATATATGTTTGAATCGTTAATTACTAATATATTAATAGTACTGTATATTAATATACACATGTATATATATATATATATATATATATATATATATATATATATATATATATATATATATATAAACTTTATATATATATATATATATTAATTTTAAGCATTTTTTAGTAGACTTAATCTTATAATAATTCCCATTAGACTCTTTAATAATATTAATTAATGTTTACATCTATTGACATTAAAAATGTATAAATATTGTATAAATTATAATATATGCCATAGTATTATATCACTAGAATTGTAACGAACAGTGATTATAGAATTTAAGACATTATAAGTTTATTATGAGTTTTAGTATTAAATGTAAAAACAGAATATCATTTTATTAAGATGTTTGCATACATGCGTGCAATTTGTTACTAATTTATTAATAATTGTAATAAATATACAGTATATTATAAATAAAATAGCAATTATAAAACACAATAGTTTTATACAAACTAAAGTTAAATATTTATATTCAAACAAATTTTTTATTTTCCATTTATTAATATTATTTATAACATACTGTCGCTTAAGTTATTATTAATTTTTATTATTATTAATAATGCAAATTAAGGATTCAAGAAGAAAGAGATCGAAGAATTAATGATTTGAGAACACAATTAAGTCAATGTGAAAAAGATATGACAGATATTAAGCAAAGAAATAATGAAAGAGTGGATTATCTCGAGAATGAATGGCAAAGAGAGGTCCAGAGGTTAAAGGAAATACATTCGAGTAGTATTCAGAAGATTAATGAAGAGCACGAACACGACTTGACTAGGATTAGGAAAATCAAAGAACAAGAGATTGAATCCGTGAACGCACTCCAGAATCACGGATTGTCTTTACAGTCACTTCTGTCCAAATGGGAGAAGAGTGCCCAACAAATTGAAGATTTACACAAAGATGTTATCGCAAAACAGGAAGAAATACTTAAACACAAATTAATAGACATCGACCTCAAGAATAAACGTATGGATGAAGTTGAAGTCAACTGGCATTCACTGATCAATGAACTTCAATTGGAAAGAAGTCGCTGTAGTGATGAACAAAAACGATTGCAGGAACTGATTGAACAACAAAAACATTTAATACAAAATGAACAGAAGAGACTGATTGACGAAAGATTAGATTTAGAAACCAATAGAAAACAGTTAAACGAAGACAGACTTACATTTGATGTCGAATATAATAAATTTAAGGATAATATGACTAAAGAAAGCCAACTCTTAGCTGAAGACCGAATCAAAGTTAAAGACGAGTTAATTAACTTAGAGATCAAACGAAATGAATTAAATCTCAAAGAATTAGAATCTCAACAGAATTTTAATAAAGAAAAAAATGAAATAAAATTGTTATTTAAAGAAATTGAAGACAAAAGAAATGATTTACATAAACAACAGACTGAAGTACAATACCATCGAATGACAATCCAAAGTGAACAACACTCGTTGGAACAAAAGAAACTCATGTTTGATATGGAAAGAAATAAAATGCAAGACTTAGCTCAAGAAATTGCCAAAAGAGCCGATGAGTTGGAAAATTTGGGACAAATTGCTTTGCAAGAGAAACGTGAGGGACATATGGCTATGGATGAGGCGGAAAGGTTTAGACAAGAATTGGACTCAAAACTTAAATTCATTGAAACAAGTTTTGCCAAATTAAAGACCGATGAGGAAAAAGTCTATCAAATGAAAGTCAAAGTCGAACAAGAATTAGAGTATATTAAAGAAGTTAAAGACAACATTGTTTGCAGTTTATGCTCTTCGGGTTTAAATAGAGGTTTGATTAAACATTTCTTTAAAAAAACAAAAATCTGAATCAATTTATTAAATTTCAGTAAAACTAAACAAAGGAATTAATAAATCATCACAAGATTTGCCAATTTTTTCGTCATTTTATGGACTCAATAATCAATGGCCCACTTTTCAAGACGACAGATCTCTACTGATTTGGCAGATCACTGGACAACAGGACGCGGCTCTTCTTGAACAAGAAACGGCTTTCATTAACGGCATTCGGACACAATCTCAGGTCACTTCGGGACTGCCTTTTCAACAAAATGATTATTTCATTAATTGAAACCTATTATACAAACTTCAGTTTACAATATTTATAGATTTATTATACATATATTTGATAACTTTTGCACAAAATAATACTCAAACCAAACAATTTATAAAATAAGCCATTTTTTCAATAATATAAACAAAATAATTATCCAAACAATCATTTATTTTATTTCTGTTATCAAATTGTGATTACAATACAAATCAATTTAACTTTTATATCCACGAGAAGCACGTCGTCCTCTGGCTCTCTCAAACTTACGTCCTTTTGAACGCACGTATGGTTTGGTGTGGCTGTGAGGCACACCCGGTGCGCGACCAAAGTGTTTGACGGCCTCACGTGCATTACGCGGTCCTTGAAGAAGAACAGTGTTCTCACCTCTAGGAGAGCGAACTGCTAATTGATCCAAAGTCAAGATCTCGCCGCCAGCCTTCAGGATGCGAGCTCTGGCTGTTTTAGTGACACGAAGAGCACACACCTTAAGATTGGGTACATCATAGAGACGTACGTCATCGGTAACGGTGCCGATAACTACTGCTATCTTGTCCTTCCTCTCGGGTTTACTCATTTGAATTTTCTGAACATCGCATCAATACATCAATTATTAGTTTATCAAATAATTTAAAAATTAGTGTCAATACAAACCAATCTTTTCAGTGTAATCGGCGGTCGATTTGTTTTACTCATATACAGTCTCTTCAACACAATTTTGTTGAACTTCTGACCAGTTCTTCGGGCCAGAAATCGGTACAACTATTAAATCAAAATTATTAAATCATTTAATTAAAAAGTGGTCATCAATGGTAACACGTGTTCACACAAACCTTAACCAAAAGCAATAAATACGGGTCTCTGCTCTTCGGCGCCGTTCGCCTGACTTTACGATCATTCTTATGGTTGATGTCTATACCCTATTCATCACAATTAATGTCCAGAAATGTCTTAATTTAGTGATAATTGTCTTTAATTTTATTGTTAATTACTTACCATTTTTGCAGTGCTCTTCAAAAAGGGATCAAACAATGATTGCAATCTCTATTTCAATACAATTCAATATAACCTTAAATTCAATCAAAATTATCTACTTTTTCCGCTTCCGTTTATAACTAAACGATCCCTAAGTTTGCCTTAAATATAATGTTTTCCGGAGTTTCCGATAAGTTTGTCATAAATAACGTCATAATTGATAGAAATTAATAAATAATGTTTGAATTGATTTGAAGTATAGAAATAAATTTGAATACAATATTTGACTGACGATTGAAATTGATATAAAAATATTGGACAATAAGTATCAATAAATTGTTAATAATTTTATATTAATATACAAAATACTATTTATAAAATATTAAACACTATTAAACTTTACTTTAAGTCCGCTATTGTCTCGCTATACATATTGCATAAAATTTTATTATATTTTAAGTTAATTTATTAGAGATTAGGTTTAGCTCTCGATTATATTAAAACACTATATAAAAGAAGATAACTATAGTCTATAGACAACAACTTATAAAATAAATAATATTAATAATCTATAAAATTATAATCAATTTTATCGACTGATGAAGATTTCAGTAAAATTTTTAAACAACACTTTTGTCATTAATTTAATTTATAAATCATTAGTAATTTATAAATAAATTGTAATATCAATACATTTTTTATATTTCAATTTCTTAATTAATTTAAAACCATATAATTAAAGAAAATGATTAAAATTATAAAATATAATTAATTATGAATTTATTGTATGATATTTATATAATTATAATCAGTCATGAATAGCATAACAATGAAAGTAAAATCTAATTATGATTATTAAAAATATCATAATTTTTTTGAATCAAAGTTTTTGAGTTACTTTATACCCGACTGTCGGTCTTTATAGACACTCATTCTCTAAATCAATATTTAACTTATAATTATTATAAATAAAAATTAAATTTTAGGTCAAATATATCTAATTTTTACATAATGTTCATTATCTACAATACATATGTATTAAAGTAATGGACTATAAATATATTAATAATAATATTAATATTTGTTTAGACAGTTATAGGTATTGTACAGTAATTATATAGTCATTAAACATGATATTAAAGGCCATAAAGTAATAAAATAACTTATGATTAGAGCCTTATTCTCAATGTATTGCACTTAACGGTACTTTTGAAAGAAGTTTTTTTTTATTAAATTGTATGAAAATATATTAAATTTATTAATATTACAAATTAGTTATATATAAACTGTTTGTCAAATTTATATATTTATAAATCATAATTAAAACAATAATATTAGTGGTGTTTAAATAAAATGTTGAGAACCTATGATAAGTAAATTTACAGTACATTACAGTAAATTTATAGTATAGTATAGTATAGTATAGTATAGTACAGTACAATACACTACATATATAGCGCATAACATTTAATGCATTCAATTGATTAAAGAGTTGTTTTGATTTGTTTAGTATTTAGTGTTTGCTTTGATATGTTTAGAGTCAGTGTTTGACTCATTAGTTGTCAAAATTGAATGCTTTGTAAATTGATTTCATGTATTGAATATTGAATTATAATTAAACAAATAAATTATAATACAATTAATAATACAATTAGTAATACAATTGACTAAAAAGTTGTGTCAGAATTATCATCGGATGAGCGATTGGTTACCAAAAAGTGTTAATATTTGTTATGTATTAATGATCTGTCGGTGATTTGCAACCGATATATAATTACARATGAATTGTATGTATTGTGATATAAATGAATGATAAGTTTGACGTATTATAACATAATATATATTACATCCTATTGTAGATCTGCGGTCAACACAATTGTAGATTAAATGAATAGTTATTATTGAAGATATTTATCACAAATTTTTAATCAAAAGAGTGATTACAAGAATGAATTGCCATCAGGTGCTGACCGGAGCCGCCAATTCTGGTGACAACTGCTATAGCTTTGGTTTAGTAGAAGGCATACCATTTGTGGCCTACAGTTCGGGTTGTAATGTAGTTATACTAACATCTGACCTCAAGAGAGTTCAAATAATACCCGGAATTCTTTACGGTAACATTCAAGTCAATTGTATCGACGCTTCCACAGATATTGGCAAAATAGCTGCCGCTTACGGACACAAGATATGCATTTTTGAACCAACACCACTTCTTCAACAAATGTCTAATCATAAATTGGACTACAAATGGATCCAAACCTCTTGTATTGAGTCGGACTCTGATGTCACTGTTATCTCATGGAATCTCGAGGGCAACAAACTTTTAACCGGTGGTCAGTGTATACAGTTATGGCATCTGAATATACAAACTACCGCTGAATTTAATAATATAAATAGCAAAACGACAAAAAGTGATAAATGTGACGATCAAGAAGCAGATTATTGGCACTGTGTGTGGAAAAGCACGACCGCAACTCCCGTTCATTTTCTACAGTTCTCACCCGACGGAACACTATTTTTTTCTGCCGGCAAAGCCGATCGTTTAGTAAAGATATGGTATGAAAGCGCTGCTAAAAATAATCCGATTACAAACCATGTGTTGGGCCGACATCACGAAACAAATGATAAACACACTGAGGATACAAAAGATATTGAATTTTCCTTTATATATATAGCACATCCGCGAGCCATCACTGGTATATCGTGGCGTAAAATTAGCAAATACTTGCCTCGCAGTTCAGTGGCCAATATGTTGGTCACTTCTTGTCGCGATAATATTTGTCGTATTTGGGTTCAGACTCTTCTTCCTGAAGATGGTTTGGTTAACTTAAGTCAAATAGAAGGACTTTCCAATTATGTTGCGCCCAGAGCTCAAACACAACGACATCGACAAAAGATAATGCAAAAGATTAAGCATATGAAGTCATTAAATCAATTTAAAAAGAGACAACAAGTGACCATCGATGAGAATCAATCAAATGGCTGTGCTATACCAACACTTCCCAGTACTTTTAGTGTACATGATTTTCATAGTTTTGGTATTCATGGCACCTCATTAGCCCCGGGATTACATTTTCATTTGACAGCCAGTATTAATGCTGAAACTGACATTCCATTAGTGCCGAGTCTTTCTGCCAATACTAACGATTCCAGCAATTTAACAAAACCCAGTTTTGTTGTCCATTGGCTTAATAATAAAGAAATGTTTTTTACTCAATCAGCTGAAAAGATTTTACAAGAGATTAGTTTGAAAATAATCCAAAACGAAATGGCATCGGCAATGAGTGATGTGGGCAGTGATACGGGTGAGGCCGATGGCCCCGAAACTGAAAATGAGATCGATTTGGCCAGCATTACAACCGCCGAATCAAATCGTAAATTACGTAAACCTATTCATCAGAATGTGAAGAAAAGTTCAAAACTTATTAGTAAAGCCTTATCTCACGATGAGGTCGAACACGACGACAACCCACCGACTAGTAGTCGACAGAGTTTTCATACGACTTCTTCCTCGGCTTCTTTAACGACTGAAGTGAATGCAACTAATGCTACAAATCATTCACAATTGGGTGACCTTTTGGACAGAAAATTAGAGGCTTTGATTAGAGAGTGGCACTCAAACTCTGATTTGCTTTTTAGTATTCATCCATTGGATGGAAGYCTTCTTGTTTGGTAAGTATTTTGTTTGTTGTTATTTATAATAGTATACAAAATCTATTAATCTTTAATTGTCTAATCATTTAATATTTCATGTCATGTGTTAAAGTAATTGATTGATTGTAATATTATATATTTATAGGTTAGTTGAATGGTTGGATGAGTCGAGTCCCAGTTCCTTCCGTCAGCCACAGATTAGCTTTTCATCGCGCATCCCAAACGCCATACCTCTTGGAGATGCGRCCACAATGTCTCACAATATCGCTATGTATTCGCCTAATTTTTATTTGGACCTCAAGTCAGTTGTTTTGCCAAATTCTTCATCACTTACTTTAGACATTCACGGAAAAGACAATTGTAGTAAAAGAGGTTCATTAATACCCGAACCTATGACTACTATAATACAGACGCCGACTGTTTGTATGTTAACAAAACATATAAATGGATCGTTAAATCTATGGAATCTTGGCTTTGGAGAGGGATCTCATTTTACACAAGTATTAAGTATAAGTCATTCATCACGAGTTTGTGGCCATAGATTCCGTGTAAATGACGTAAACTGTCATCCAGTGTTACCACTTCTCCTGACAACTTCTCATCATAATTTGCCCGGTCTTTTGGACTCAAATTCTTCACCATTGAGTACTCCATCTGTTACACCAACTACTCCCGATGGCTCACAAAAAGGATTGGGACTACAAAATACAGGATTTTGTTCTGAACTAATATTATGGAGAGTGGATCCCGTGGGTCCTCTTTCCAACTCTGGTGGTGTCACAGAATTGGCGCGAATTAATTCACTTTATTTGTCGGCCTTTTCTAACGTTGCATGGATTCCGACATTACTTCCAAGTACTACAATTGGTTCAATTTCTAACTCTCCCAGTGCTTGTTTTGTGGCATCAGATGGCAAACAATTGCGTATATATCAGGCCGTTATCGACGCGCGAACTCTTTTGGCCGAAGTATCATCTGCTGAACGAAAAGCACGTAAGGGTAATATAAGTCCTACTGTTAGTGATGACAGTACTTCATCAGAAATGGGTCAATACAAACATGCGGTTAGAGACTCATTCAAAGTAGTTAGTCTTCAATCGACTGCAAGACCCGGTTGTATACTTGAACTCAATACTATCTCAGATGCGGTTCACGACTGGAAAAATACACAATTTTTACACGTTTTTCAGGAACAGCTTATCAAAGGTGATAGTTCTGATGCATACGAGTCGTGGAATGAGATCCAGAAGAATCAAACGGGTTTAGCTGATAGTAGTTTAGGCGCTGCGGTTGATCTCAGACATAGTGCTATATTTGAAGAACCATTTTATTTGGTTGTCATCGAAAAGAACGAAAATCAACAATCAGTACTTCATATGTGGCGACTATTGATGTCATCTCAACCACAAACTGATAACAACAAGTTTTCATACGTTCCGGATAGTAATATAATACAAGATAGCGATCATTCAAACACTTCATCCAGAAGTAACTCTCCGGATCCCAATAAGACTGATCTTAGACCTGATAGAGAACATGATAGTCAACCACATAGTTATCTTAATGTGAGTCCGCTTAGAATAACAACTGAAAAGGTTTGCACTCAAGTGTTGCCCTTACCACCAGAAGTAGAAGTGATTCACGCCACTCCTGCTGCGGGACATCTAAGTTCTTCCAACATATATCCCGCGTGTTTTGCTCCATATCTTATAGTAAGCGCTTGTAGTGACGGAAAAATCCGATTCTGGAGATGTTGTCAGCAGAATAATGATTCAGATTATGGATCCACTGATAATGCTTTTGATCGCAAATCATCTTATTTTTGGAAGGAATGGGAAATGATTATAAACAAAGAAGAGTCGAGTGCTTTTGAAGTTCCAGGTCTTCCTTTATATGTTTCGTGTTCATATAGCGGTAGAATTGCCTGCGCCTACAAACAGGGTCAGTCATTTTCAAGACATGGATCACGAAATTCTAATAAAAAGTTTATCAATGTAACCCTGGCTATTATTGAATGTGAATCAACCGGTGGCTCGGAATGGGTTTTGAAGATACCATTCAAATCAAGAATATACCGCTTCCACAAACAGACTTGAATTTAGGTATAGAATTAGGACCATTGGTTGACACAACTATCAGAAACAAGTGGACATCAGATAAATTAGTTACACGACTTGGAGGGGATGAGCATATGTCTGAACATAGGGGTACTAATAATATCCAACGTTTACTATCTGTTCCCAGTTATACAACAATGCATTCGCTTAAGAAAATAATCTCAGAAAAGGGAAATCAGTTTACATTAACTCAAAAGTCTTTAGTACAACTCGATTGGGTTTCCACTGAAGATGGATCTCATGTCCTAACTGTTTCAGCCGGTTCTAAGATTACATTATTTACTCCAGTGTCCACCGATATAGCACAGGCTAACCTCCAGGCGCTTAAAGCATCTGAAAAAATTAGCAGTAGTACAACAAATAGATATTTATTGAAACAAACTTCTTCTATGGCACCAATAGCTAGAACTGATGAAATTCGTTGGATGACTTTACGCGCAACCGATTTGATTACAGCTGACGGATTGCCTCCACTACCTATGCAATTGTCATGGGTTAGGGATGGCATACTTGTTGTTGGTATGGATAATGAAATGTTGATTTATACTCAATGGAAGAGTAATTCGATGGTTACTTTGGTTGAATCATCGGTTGAAATAACAGAATCGCGAATATTAACCGAACGGGAATTGTTGACTCACGCTCAGGAATCTTCACAACTTCGATTACCAACTCATCCCAGTGCTATTCCACGGTCTCCATCATCAAGTAAACTGATAACTGGTCTAAATAGCGAACATAAGAAAACGTATCAACAATCAGGTGTAGCCATAACCGGCACTCAACAGTCAGATGAACTGCAAACTGAGACACAAATTCCAAACTTAACTCATTTACCCGATTTCGGTATATTTGAAGCGAGTCGTCTGGCCTGTCCAGTGTTACCGCAATATCATCCGAAACAATTGATGGAATTATTAGCATTCGGTAAAATACAAAGGGTTCGGGCAATTCTCGGCCATTTGGTTGCCTGTTTGGAGTCAATTAATAAAAGACAAAATACTTTACAATGTTTGGGTCGAAGTTTAGAAAAAAGAAGTGAATCTGAAAGAAGTCCCCGATCTTGGCTTAGATCACGAACACTATCAGTTGCTGCACCCACTTCTCCACATCAACCAAACAGTCCTCACGATTCCGAAAATTTTGCTTTAATTGCAGAAGAAGTGCAATTAGATTACACTGAAATTACATCCATAAGACCCCTTCCATTGTATGCACTGATTGAAGCGGATGATAAAAATGAGTTTCAAATGACAAACAAATCATTGGATGAAGAGTTGGGTTACGACAAACTTTTTGACTCTAATTTCAAAACACAAGTTGAAGATACGTTAGACGAGATTCTTGGCAAAAGTGCTTTCAATTTCAATACCAAACCAAAGAAAACACAAAGAGAAACGGATATTACAAATTTTGGCCAAAGACAGGCTCGCATTTTGACTAAATTATTAACTCACTCTCATCTTCCGGGTCTCTCAAGTCTGGATCAAATGCATTTACTTGCTTTGGCTGATTCAGTCGCTTCGTTCAATCCAACAGCAAATAAGGATTCATTTTCAGAGGATTTTACGCAAAGAGATGACAGTGAACGCGTAACTGTTGATAATTCAATTGTTTCGGCCGATTCATTAGACAATTGTGGCCTAAGATTTTTGTTAACAATGCGACAACACGTTTATCTTTTGCGATGCCTTCCATTAGTACAAAGAAAAAATTTACAAAAAGAAGGCTTAGGAACGCAAAGTATTGTTTGGGCGTTTCATTCGGAAACTCAAGAAGAATTGGTTCAATTGATTCCTACCATTAATAAAGAAAACGCCAATTGGAGTGATCTCAGAGAATTGGGAGTTGGACTTTGGATTCGCAATAATTTATTGCTTCGTAAGCTAATAGAAAAGTTAGCTAAGGCTGCCTTTGATAAGAAGCAGAACCCATTAGATGCCGCACTTTATTATTTGGCAATGAAAAAGAAAAAGATTGTTTGGGGACTCTTTAGATCAGTTCAGGACAAGAAAATGACGGATTTTTTTCAGAATAACTTTACTGACGATAAGTGGCGAAAGGCGGCCCTCAAGAATGCGTATGCATTGATGGGCAAACAGCGCTTCTCACACGCGGCCGCTTTCTTTCTTTTGGCCGGTTCTGTTTGGGATGCCGTCGAAGTCTGTATCTCTAAACTCGATGACTTACAATTAGCAATGGTTTTGATCCGTCTTTATGAAGGAGACATAGAAACAACACCCGAAAATCTAAAACGTCTTCTATATCAAGAAGTATTGGGCAGAAATCATGACGGCTTGAATTATAACTCAAATAAAGCACATCCGGATCCATTCTTGAGAAGTATGGCTTATTGGATACTTCAAGATTATAACACAGCGCTCAGTACTTTAATGGAGAAAGATGTCGGCTCTTGTCATCCAAAATACATCAATAATGATGTTGAATACGAAGGATCAGCAGTCGGTCACAATGTCTTTAATTTTTATCTCTATTTGCGAACTCAACCATTGATACTTCGAAGACAATTTGCACAAAATCTTAAGGAAAAGAAGGAACAATTTGCTAAATCTTCAAGAGGTCTCATAACTGAGACTACATTTGGCAGCGATTCAATAACACCATTCGAAAGACGTCTTTTTTTCTTGACAGCGCACTCACACTTTCGCGCCGGATGTCCATCACTTGCATTGGAAGTACTTTCACGATTACCCAATAGAATTGATACAAACGAACAGACAGATAGATCTGAATCAATAGATTTGACTAAATATGAAGAGTCTAAACATATAACAACTGGAGTTATACCAAACGGAGATATAAATGACCCGTTTGATTGGGGGGCACCAACTAGTTTCGTACCAATGGATACTACAAACGATTTCCAGTTATCAGTGGAGCCCTGTTCTGATGATGACGACGACGATAGTACAGGTGGTCTTGAAATGAAAGTGGATTCTAATACTAATGATCAACAAATTACTACTAATAGTAAAAATTACAGTAATATTAAACTCGATATAATGGCCCAACAGTTGAAGTTTGTCGCGTGTCTTAAAATATTGATGGAAGAGTTAAGCACTTTAGCCACTGGTTTTGAAGTAGACGGCGGACAACTCAGATATCAACTTTACATTTGGCTTGAAAAGAGTGTTCAGTCATTGAAATCTATTTGTAATTATAGAACATTTTCGATGAGACACACACCCGATGACAACCAAATGACATCATCAATGGTTTTGGGAAATACTAATGACATTTCACATTCAGAAGTAATGACACCCCGCGGTTCACACTCTGAAGCCAGTGGTGCCATTGAAACTAAACCATCACTACATGAAATATTATTGGCCGACAAAATGGACTTCGAAGCCAAATTAGATCGATCTTCTCGTCGCAAGTTATGGTTGACTGCCAACGAAGCACTTATGAGAACTCTCTTAAGTTATTGTAGTCTTCATGGCGCACATGGAGGTGGTCTGTCATCAGTTCGAATGGAACTCATTCTTTTGCTTCAAGAGCTTCAACAGGAAAGATCACAACAACAACTTTTGTCACCACTTCCTTTCCCGACAACATTACCACTATTGGCAGCAAGTGTTGCGTGTCAGAAGACAGTCATTGCTGATCCTATAAGACATCTTCAATCTGTTACCCACGATATACTCAATACAGTCTTAAACATGAGTTCTCCACCACTAACTGTGTCTCCAGACTATTCAATAATCTATATTTTAAGAGATCTGGGAATTTCATTGTCTTCGTGTATATATCAATCCTTATGTGATTCCGATGCCATAACTTCTAAACCAGGAATTGGTTGCAGAGATGACTTGAGTTCATCAGTTGTTTGTCAAAACACACATCTATTGGCTGGACATCAAGCCGTTCGTCGAAATGTATCGTCGGCTTCGGAAACTAATGAAACTATTTGTCCAATAACTGCACCAAACAAATGGCCGGGAGTTCAGTCATTGCGTGCATTACTAGCGCGTGATAAAGATGAAGACTCACCTAAATTACATACATTGTTATGCGAATCATTTGTTGCAGTATTTATAAGTCAATTCATATATTCAATGGCCGCGTGTGACTCATATGTATTGTACAGATTGATTGGTTTGAAGTTTACTGACAGTTCATGGGCTCAACTGTTTGGTGGCGGCGCTAAAAAACTAATCCATGTCGCGACCGGACAATCATCTCAAGAAAAATTACAAAATCATCAAAATAGTGAAGATTCCGAAAGTTCATCGCTTGACTTATTAAATACATTATCAAAACAACGAATGAAACTTCATATGAAAATATTGCAACAATTGAGTCAAACGGATAAACCTATAGCACCGCCAAATATGAAGGAAGACAGACCTACATATAGGGAACAGTTTATTCCTCCACAAACTTCTATGATATCATTCCTTATGACTAAACCTAATCTTCCCGATGAGTTCATACAACTCGACTATGACTCGAGTGAATCAGTTATGACTGAAGATGAAGAAAACGAAACAAATGATTTAGAAGATTATGGTATAAATGATAATATATTTGGCGAAACAGGTCTAACCAGTACTGCAATTGATGAGAAAAAATTAGAACAAGAGTTGTATGCCTGGGGTTTAATCCGATACTCAGCCGTTAGACTCGCAAAACGTCAATTGATGCACTTCTTAACTGTGGCCGGCATTGAAATACCTGACCTTCCAATCACCAGCTCTTTAATACATTCTGTTTCAAAAACATTGAATATTTGGGAACATTATATGAATAACTATATGAATGAATTTAATGGTCCTCCGAATCACTTTTTGCTAAACACTTACGTTGAGTCAAGTCATCAAAATAGACCGGCTATTCATAAATATAAATCTTTGTTAGAGATAACTAACACTCCATTCCGAGATCACAATCCTATTTCAAAGGCATCCAAAAGACTTTGGAATTATTTGGTCCGACAGGAGAGGGTTCAGGACATCTTCATTAGGTATATATTTGGAAAACCAAAATCAGTTCGTAGTATAGCTTTGGACAATGATATTACCAATGATAACGACACACATAATCCGGAAACTACACGAATCGTACACAAAGATCATGAAAACATTAGCGCCTTTTGTATTAACCGAACAAATGCTGGAATTATAGCCATATCGACACCTAAAGAGATTCAAGAAATCGATATATCAATGCTTTTGAATGTAACACCATTTCTTGAAGATGAAGCTGAATATGATATTCTAAACTTACAAAAGTATTTTATGAAACATTTATTTTTAATGTGACAACAATTTTAAATATTTATTTATTTATAACAGAAATTCAGAATCTCTGCCTTCAATTGATTATCTATTAGCTCAACATCCGGCCGATCGACTTCTGTCATCTCCTGGAGGACAAGCAATTAATTCAATGGTTCCAAACAGTGCTAATATCAATGGAAACACAACTCAAACCGCAAAGAATCCAATAATGGTTTGTATTGTTTTTAGTTATAATAATCTCATATACATTAACATTACATAAATCAGATTAGTATTGAATAATGTTTTGCTTATAACTGAACACTTTTATCAATTATGTGGTCAATTGTTTTTCACTTTAAATCCAAATTATTATTAATTGCTTTCACTAACAAACAAAGGCTAAACATCACTTTCCGGGCAATACTAGCCCTCAATTTTGTCAATTAATTCTTGAGAGAAGTCGTTATGTTTTACAACCGGTAAGTTTGTCACACATTGTTATCACTCAAAACCATTTGATTTGACATTAAGTTTTAGTTATTGTTGTCCTTATGTTTGCTTTGGTTATGGTTTTATAATATGATTACTATAAGCATTTTGAATTAAATTTTATGTAATTTATATTAATTAAATTAACAATTATTTTTATAATATGCTGTCAATTAGTTTTAGATAATATTAAATCTAATAATATCTAATATTTATAGCTCAAGCGTCACAAGATTGAAGGGGTCAGGAGATTGTGTTCACACCCGACGTTACCTTTATGTGAGTCTAATTCATTGGATGTAAATATTTTAAAAACTAAATTAAATTAAATTAATTAAAACGTACAGATCTTTCGGGATCTCAAGACGGCTCAGTTACTCTATGGGAATGGAACCATCAACAGCCTATAGCCTGTCCCCGACCGGGCGGCACGTTCTCTAAAGTAACGCGCGTTGGTTTCAACCTTCAGGGCAACAAATTTGGTGTCACTGACGGCGACGGAAATCTAAGTCTCTGGCAAATCGCCAACACTTCACAAAATAAGCCATTCTTTGTAATTATCAAAACATTTTGCTTAAAATGTTTATTATATGTTAATTAAATGATGACATTCCTCTACAGAGCATGCAATGTCATTCCAAGACTGTCAGTGACTTTACATTTTTGGGTGCTTCCAGTCTAGTGATGACTGCCGGCCAATCGGCCGATCATAAGAACGTAGCCCTTTGGGACACACTTTTGCCACACAAGAAATGTATGGTAACATCATTTGCATGTCATGAACACAACGGTGCCTCAGCCATACTATATGCGCCTCTCAATCAATTGCTTATAACCGGAGGCAAAAAGGGAGACGTCTTTCTGTTTGATATGAGACAAAGGGTTCAAAGGGACAGATTTCAAGCACACGAGTCTGCAGTCAAATGCATGGCATTAGATCCGGGAGAGGAGTTCTTTGTCACCGGTAGTGCTGACGGAGATATTAAAGTATGACTTTTGTTACAATAATTTATATATTGTAGGAAATGATGTTTTAAAGTTCATTTTTAACATTGAAAACTAATCTATAGTTTAGAAAAAAATATATATATTTAYATTATAATTGAAATATATTTTATTTAATAGGTTTGGGGTTTGGGTTCGGTTCGAGTGCTATTCTATTCATTCCCGGGCGAACATTCCAGGAGTACATTGTTTCGTAACATAGGAATGGGTGTTTCGCACCTATATGTAGACCAATGTGGAAGACTGTTCTCCTGCGGAGCCGACGGTTCCATTAAGTTTAGGCAACTCCCCGATCGGGGCATTCATAATATCATAAATACGATATGATTTAAATAATTTTCTATGGCTTTTAAAAGAGTCAAATCCTAATTTAAATTTCATTATTTACTATAATCAGAAACAAATGTTTTACAGAAAACTCAATAATTAATTTTTTAAAAATGAGTTAAATTTTCATATAATAATAATTAATTGAAACTAAACACTAGTCATTAAATGCATGTGTGATATTTACTTTAATGTAATAATTCATAAGTTATTCGGATACTTTTATTATTACTATTATTATTGCTATTATCGTACTATTATATCAAGACTTGAGAAAATTTAGTCATTAATAATAAATCTGTTATTATTTATAAACATATATTTTATTGTTAATTTAGAAGAATCACAAAAAATATTTAAAACTTAATTTACAGAACAATAAATGTGATTATTTTGTTTATATCATCAAAGATTGTTTTATTTATATTAATTGAAATATTTAAATTAGTTACAATTTGTTAAATAAAATTTTTGTTATTAAAGTAATAAAATAAATTGCAATTTTAATCTTCAATTAAYATATTAATTAGCTCTCTATCCATTAATTGTGTTTCAGTCAATCGGTTTTTCTATTGAATTATCAGAAATATAAATGTTTGACAAAAATAATTAACGAAAATATAAAAATTCATACACTTTTCCAATTGACAAGAGTTGGCACACAATTGATTTTGAGGTCTTTATGAGTGCGGAACCAGTTCTGTGAATCTTTCCAACTGATGAACACATCATTACAATCAATCAATTTTATTATTATTATTATTAAACAATACTCACGTATTTCTATCGCCAACATAAGTGGTTATCAATATATAGTCATCGCCGGCATAGTTGTCATCATTGATGACCTGATGGATAATAGGTTCGGAATGTGTACAATCTGGACACCAACTTATACCCGACGGGTCCTTAGAGCCCGTAAACAGTATAAGAATAGTCTTATTATTATCAGCCGAGAGTTCTTTAATGGTTTGCAAAAGTCCTGTCAAATCATTATCATTGAACAGTTGTTTCATTTTTGRCGACCGTTTGGTTACAAGAGTGAAATGGTTGGTACAATAAGTTTAGGTGACGTCGAAAGACAGGTGCGATTCACGAGAAGTGGTATTATGAGTGCACACAACAGTTGCCAACAGTTGCTAACAATAGATAAGGCTTTGAATTTAAGAAAAGTTGGGTTAAGTTTATTAATGAATAAGTGAGGCAAATGTACAGTAGGTTTATATGGTATGTATAGACAGTCGCGTGAGGGGAGACCTACTCAGGGATTAGGAATGACATTAAAAATAAAAAAAGAAAAAAATCAATGATTTAGTGTAAAGACTGATGAAAGTGCAGCCAATTGTAAGAAATGCAGTCTAACTGACAAATAGTTCTGTAATACCGGTGCACAAGATATGGGTGAACTCTATGCCAATGTTTTTGGGGGTAAATACTATACAATATTCTCAACTAATTCATGGTTTCCATTCATTCCTTACTAAAGTAACCAAATGAACAGTTTTTATATGTATTCTCCTCTAATAAACTCAAAACTTCAAAAAGTAATTTTTAAAAATATATTGTATTTTATCTAAAGTTTTGATTTTTATTATCAATAATTAATTAATAATTAATTTTAATGTTAAAATAAAAATGTCGAGTTAATTATAGTTAGTGATATCATGTTATATTAATTAATTCAATAATAGTTATTATTTGTAAATACGTGTAAAATTTAATAATGATAATTACAAATTTATTAATTATAAAAATGTTTAACATTTATGCAAAGTACAGTATGTTTACTGAATAGGTATATATATATATATATATATATATATATATATATATATATATAATTACATAAATGATGTCGCATTTTTTTAAACAACTCATGACAATATGAGAGAGAGAGAGAGAGAGAGAGAGAGAGAGAGAGAGAGAGAGAGAGAAATATTACATTTAGACAACCAATTAAAAACTAAAGAATCTATAGTATAGATTTACATTAAAGTTATTACATTATATAAAATTACAGTAGAGTCCATATACAGTACTTGTTTGGCAAACAAACTGTATTTTTAATCAAATATAAATAATACAGTACTTTAAATGTTAGCAAATGGCAATGCTATACAAATGCTATATTAAAGTGGCACACATTGTATAGAATTGCAAAAAAATGATTGCAAACATTAAGCATGTGTTGAGCTATTGAAGGGCACCGGTAGTAATGTCAATAAAAGGTGTACTACAGTACTACTGTAATGTACTAATGCTATGCAATTTTTGTCGCACATGAAAACTTTTTTGGTCGCCTCTCTCTCTCTCTCTCTCTCTCTCTCTCTCTCTCTCTCTCTCTCTCTCTCTCTCTCTCTCTCTCTCTCTCTCTCTCTCTCTCTCCCATCTCATTCATTCACTGACTGACTCACTTGCTATTGGTATTGGTGTAGAATCTGTACACATGTTTGTTGAGATGGGGAGAGTAGTGGAAAAATGTTTGGCACATATGCCTCTCTATTTCATTCATAGCTCATATGTGTATTTGTATGAATGAGCACTGACTGACTCCCTGAGCTCCGGAAGCTGAACGTACAGATTGTATGATACAAGTGATCGACGAGTTTTCATAAGTGAATTGCCAGTCAATGATGTTTGAGTTGTTTGAGGCGATGGCCAGTAATGATGGAAACATTGGTCATCAGTAAGAGTTACAGCAAAACACTGCAAACAAGTAGTCATATAAACTCTAATCACGTTATAAATGGTGTAAACATTGATAAAGTTTACGCAAAACAAAAACTTTGCAAACTTTATAAAAAAGTTTTGGCAAACAATTTGAATGTCAATATTGTTAAGAAAATGCTTAGAAATCGACGAACTTATGAATGCTTTCCAAAAGTCAAAATGAAAGACAACTTTTGCTATAATTATACCAATATTTCCAGTGATTTATCTTTATTTAAATATTTAATAAACAGTCGTTTTCTTCAGAGTTTATTTTCATTAATGATTGTAATAATTACAATATATGTGCGACAATGGGATCACCTAATCTCGAGTCGTTGTGCACTATATAACAATTACTTTGTGATGGAGATGACCCGTCCGCCCACTAACTGCGATATCTGTCGAAATGTCAACCAATTTCTGGTTCTTGAAAACATCACGAAAGATGAGTTTGCAAAGTATGCCTACAATGGACAGCCTATTGTGGTTCGCGGGGCTTCTAAACACTGGTCAGCCCTAAAAACATTTAGTTTTGATTTTTTTCGTCAAATCTATTCACAAAATCCCGGCGCTTATGAAAGTATTGAACGCGAGTGTCAGTTCTTTCCGTTTAAAACTCAATTCAATCACTTGAGTCAAGTCTTTGCAATGCCTGAGGAAAGGGTCCGAATGACCGAACAGATGTCGAAGCCGTGGTATATCGGATGGTATGAATCTATACTTACTTTGTCTGTCTAGACTTTTTTTTTAACTCAATTATCTAAATAATTGTAAGAAATCATTAGTCATATGTTTAAAAAATAATTTAAAAAGTTTTGTTGTATTTTTCGCTACTATTTATTAAATTGTAAATTAATTTAGAGCTCAAGTATTAGTGAAAGCATTTGTATTTGACTTCTAGTTTAGTTGACTGATGTTTAGCAGTTATATATCATTTGGTGCAATGAATCGCATATTTTTTTGTTAGACAGTCTGAAAACGTCAAACTGCTGTCCCCTCTAATGTCCTCTCAATGTTGTAATGAATTTCCTCTGCAATGATGGGCACAAAAACTCACTAAAAAACGGATGCTTTGCTTGTATGTCGTCGTCGGAAAACTTTTGTGCTCTTAATATACATAATGTACTGTAAATGACTGTTAACTTCATTGCTGTATATTTTGCTGATAACTTGATTACATTTTACAATAGTTTATCATTTTTTTTGCTAAATTATTTTTGTTGTCAATTATAGGAGTAATTGTAATGCAGAGATTGCATCCATTTTACGCCAACATTACTCGAGACCCACCTTTTTGCCGGATGACTCCGAGTCGAGTGCTATCGATAGGATATTTATGGGGTATTCCCATATCGGGGCCAGTATGCATGTATGTATTACTGACCACATTTATATTTATTTCAACAATTTGATCTAAGGTATSATATATTGTTATAGTTAGACTATGTACAGCGTCCATCGTGGCAAGCACAGGTATCCGGTTCTAAGACTTGGCATTTATTACCGCCTCCCGAGTGTGAACCACAGTGCAAACCTATCAATATAACCGTCCAAACAGGAGATATCAGTACGTAAGACATATTGCTATATCATATTACAATATACGGTAAAATACACTAATATTAAATGAGTATTAATAGTATTGTCAAATATTATACAGTATAATAAATGCATATTTTGTCAAACGTATACTTTAGTTATTAATAGGCTGTCCATTTGAAGGTGCTAAAAACTAGTTTTAAGTCACTATAAAAGTTACTAAAAAATTGGCAAATAGTTACTTAAAAGTTATTTATTTTAAAGCAATTTTTAGTAATAAATTTTTTAAAAACATTTTTTAAAAATATAATTCATACTTTGATTTTTCTAATATTTTATCAAATTGTAATTTTTWAAATTTAAATTTACCAAAATGTTATTTGTTTTTGTCAATTATTTATAATATGCAAAAACCACCTTTATTGTCAGCAACTATATATATWTTTTTCATTTTATCACTAAAATTTTGTTAAATTAACGGWTATTATGTAAAAAATAAAGCAAAAGTTAACTAAAAGTTGTTTCAAGTGCTAAAAGTTAATAACGACTTAGAAAGTTATTTATAGGYGATATAAACTTTTGTATAAATGCTTATTATTATATGATATACTCATATATTTAATATGAGCTTATTCTCCGATTCAGTAAAAATAGTTAAATAACTTCAATTGGACAGTTAGTTAGTTAATAATAGTTAATAATATGATAGACAGATTAAGCAATATTGTGTGTGTGTGKGGGGGGGGTTAAATGGAATAAATGGAATAATTTTTTAAAAAACCTGGGGTGGAGTAGACTATTGCATTTTTAAACAATTTTTAAAAAACTAACCTTAAATGTTAAGTAAAAATTTTTATAAAATTTCTTTAAATTCCTTATAAATTCCTTAATAATCCTTTTACTCATTTACTATATATTTGTTAAAATTAAATTTATAAACATATATCCTATTAAAAACTGAATATCAAATGAAGTGAYCTCTCTCACTCTCTCACTCTCTCACTATATATATATATATATATATATATAGTATATATATCAAACTTTTATGGTTTTTGTTAATTATTTAACTATAACTGTACTGAGARATCACAAAACTATAAGAAATAAAAATTAGTTAACAAAAACTTCAAATGAATAACATATAGTATACCGTATATACCCACATATAAACCACTCTMAAAAATCTGGGATAAAATGTAAAGTCATTGGGATTAGAAATGATTGGGTTGGGGGTGGAGTAATGTAATGTTAATTATAGACATTCAATAATAGGACTAATTTGACAACTTATTAATCAATCATTTGCTATKKGGTAGAAATTCACATTWTAGTCCATAGTTTAACATTTAATTCCTGGGCCTATATGTGCTAACATACGGTAATTTTACATTATATTTTTGCTTTAATTTAATATAATATAAACTAATTTTGAACACCTGTCTAATCTGTCATTAAAATACTGATTGTAATAATTTCATGCTTACAATTGAAACTTATTTTTGTTAGAAAAGTCAATCAATTATTTTAGTTTATTTTGAATGTCTGACAAAAATTGAATCTGTTTTATATGACATATGAATTATATACTGTATAGTACTGTACCGGTATATACACAATATATTAAACATACTGTACTGTACTGTACTATATAGTCAAGTGTTTGTTTGGTATAATTTGAAGTAATGTTATGTAATGTAATGTATTATAGTATTAATCGATACGAATCAATGGTATCACAAGACTGGCATCAATGCAATCAATGGCATCAGTATTACCATTGGATCAGAATATGACTGAAAACTGCTTACTATTATGTAATGTAATGAACCACTAGTGCTGTCATCTCTAGTCATTGAAATCACTATTTAATGCAAACATTATTTATGTATAACTCTTAACATTGACTTCATATTGAATGCAATGTTTGAAAAATAATTTATAAACAAATAAAATAAATAAACAAATGTTTAGAAAATGTTGTGTTTATTAGTTTGACTGACATTTTGTTAAGACATTATTTAGACGATTAAGAAATGGTTAACATAGAGGATGACACCAATGAAGTAATATTAGCGACGGGAGGCTATGACCACACTATCCGTTTGTGGTCCGCACACACCGGGGTTTGTCATCGCATTGTTCAACACGCAGACAGTGTATGTATTGATTCAATTGATCCGCTGATTATTTGATTGATTGATGAGTTGATCCATTGATTGACAGCAAGTGAATGCATTGGAGATAACGCCGAACCGTCATATGTTGGCTGCGGCCGGCTTTCAACACATCCGCATGTATGATGTTGTGTCCCAACACCCGAACCCAGTGGTCAACTATGAAGGCGTTTCCAAGAATATCACTTCATTAGGGTTTCAAAGTGATGGCAAATGGATGTACAGCGGGGGTGAAGACGGATCGGTCAGAATATGGGACTTAAGAGCCCGAAGCTTACAATGTCAACGACTCTTTCAAACATCAAATTCAATCAATTGTCTGGCATTACATCCCAACCAAACAGATCTCTATATCGGTGACCAAAGTGGAGTCATTCATATTTGGGATCTTCAAAGTGGTTCAGATCGTAGCGAACAACTAGAAGTAGATTACGATATATCCATACAAAGTATAGCCATTGAGTGTGAGGGCAATCATTTGGCGGCCGTCGATAACAAAGGAAATTGTTATATATTTGCTTTAAAACACAACAAAGGAGTCGACAGTTTACAGAAGAGACTTAAATTTACGGCACACAAGAAGTTTGTTCTAAAATGTCGCTACAGTCCCGACTCAACACTGTTGGCCACTTCAAGTGCCGATCAAACGGCTAAAATATGGCGAACGGCTGACTTGTCTGACTTAAACTCATTGTCACAAACAACTGACAGCGAGAAGAAATCAACGAAACAACTGAGCGGTACATCCATTTGGCCTAAAGTTGACTCTATATATCCAGCCGTCGAACTTAAAGATGACAACCAAAGATGGGTTTGGGATTTAGGCTTTTCTATTGATTCGCAATTTATTATAACCGGTTTGTTTTGTTTGTGTGATTTTGTGGATAAGTTTAACATTTAATTTAAATGATAGGATCATCAGATAATAACGCCCGTCTCTGGAATGTATTTTCAGGTGATATAAAACGGGAATATAGTGGCCATCAAAAGGCTATAACGGCCATTGCTTTTTCAGATACATTAGTGTCATAATTATATTCATTTATAATTTTCATATATTGTTATTCATATACATAATTAAATTATATATTATTAAAATTATTGTAATAAACGTTTATAGATTACTAAACTTTGTTTAAAAATTTTATAAAATAAAATTTGTGTTATTGTAATTAACATTTTATATAATCAGTGAACCAATTAGTAAAAACAGATCATTGTTTACTCAAAAGTTAGGCCACAATTAGGACATCGTTTCTGTTTAAATGCTATAAATAATTTAAATTAATTATACAAATGTATATAACATGTAATTATATAATCAATTATATAATCAATACCTAAACAGCAGAGAATTCCCAACGGAAAGAATAGTATTGCCATAAGTATACCCAAACACGTGAAGTCGTCCTCAAGGATACCAACCTTATGAATGACAACATGTCATACAATTTATAATGGTTTGAATGTCAAGACATACGTGACAAGCAGGACATGAGCCCAAAAGATGACTGTCTGTGGAACCGTTTGGATAATTGTACCATAACTTGTCAGATGTGCTTCTTGTGATGGCAATGGTTGTCCATATATTGGTTGTTGAGTACCAATGAAACCAATGTTTGATGGATTGGGATAATAGGCTAACATTAATGATTAATTCATTAACTCATTCAATGGTTAATCTTTAAGTGGATTTACAGTTTTGATCGGCAATTGGTGTGTAAGGCGGGGGTGTTATCGGGTAATCATTGGGTTCTGGACTCGGGTTCGGCTGAAGACTTTGATATTGAAATTGATTGCTCTTTTGATCATTCATTTCAACTATTTGTTTGTTAATAACTATTATTAAAGATATTTTAAATCAATTGATAAAAAATTATATAAAATAAACAATTGTCAATCAATTTGACCACTTTTTCACCGCAATTACCGAACARCAACATTAGACACATGTTTGCCAATCAATATATTTGATTCAAATTTGTCTTTAAGTGTCCACTATTAYAATGTGGTAGTTGTGGTCAACAAAATTGTGGTCAAAATGACAGATGAAATCATACATTCAATTGTTGTCAACAAAAGTCCAAATGATTTCAACGATTACTTTGTTTTTATTTGTTTACATTGTTTTAGTCATTATTACGTTATTATTATTATTATTATTATTATTATATTAATCAGTATTACAAGTATTGGTATATACTGTACATATTGTATAGCAATAGTATAGTGTTTGCATTTAGAAGAGTATTCGGTTAGAYAGGTATTCCACTCATTAGTTTATATTAAATATCTTATAAACCATACATTAAATTTAAAAATGATCAAGGGCATAATTATAGATAATATTAAACTCAATATTATTGTAATTGGTCATTTATTGATTAATTGTAAAATTGACTAGATAATTGCATCGACATAAAATAGTTGACTATTATCTACTATTATCTAGTTAATTTTGCAATTAATCAAAAAATGAACAATTACAATAATGTTGAGTTTAATATTATCTATAATTATGCCCTTGATAATTTTTAAAATTGAATGTTTGGTTTACTAGATATTTAATATAAACTAATGAGTGGAATACCTATCTAACCGAATTATCTCCCAAATGCATACACCATATATACCAGCACTTGTAATACTGATATTAATATAACTGTTTGTTAAAAGTTATAATTAGTGCATTAAAATACATTTAATTAAATATAATACATRTTTTGATGATAAATAAATAAGAAATATTTAATTAAATATTTTGTGTTTTTAGTAAATATGATTAAATATTATAACTTAAAAATGTAAAAATAGATTATAAGGTACTAAATACTGCAGTTTTTGCTTCAAGTTATAGTTTTTAACGAACAATAAATATATACAAATAACTCTATGATATAAAAATTATCAAAAATATTAGGCAAAACAGCATTACTGTAGTTGTGTTAAACATATGAATGCAATTAATGATTAAAAATTATATTATATTCAGTTGTATTAGTTATTAAGTTTGAAAATAAAATTAAGTGTATTTTTTACCTTTTCTTAATAAAAATATGATATCAATTTGTAATATTATTATGCATTATTATTAATTGTAATTTAAATAGATATTAGAATAAATTACAAATTGATTAAATATATATATTTTTACTAATAAATGACTATTTAAAAAAAATATTTAAGTAAATATATTAATGATGCACTACTCTAGTTATAATACTATTGCTATTCATATATTATATTTGCATTCATTATATCATATAATTTATATTTATTGATGTATTTTATTGAATAATAATATCTACGGTTAAAACTTTTAACTTAAAAACCAAATAAACAAATTATTACAAAAAATATTAATTTTAATAGTTTATAACATTTCAATAATTTGAATGATTTTAATAAAAAATTAAACAAATAATTATTTTAATACATTTTATATATTGTAAATTTAAAAGCAAACTGTAAGTTATAATTAAGTCATTGTACTGTATTAGGTAATAGTTAATTATTTCAAAATATAAAATAACAAATATTAAATTTTACTAAAATAAGACAATTTAATTATATGCTGAAAATAAATAATTAGTGTTAAACTTAGTATTTAGTTTTTTTAAGTTAGCTTTTTTTAACTAATTAATTTTTTAACTATTAGAACTATAATATTTAATAATGATTTTCAAAAAAAACTTTGAAAAAGTTTTGTTTTCTGAAATCTATACGAGCCTTTTGTGTGTGTGTGTGTGTGTGTGTCTGTAGCATTTCATTTTGCGAATTTTGAAATTCTGACTTCAGATTCAGTTAGAGGACTACTAATAATGTATAGAAAAGTTGCATTAAAATTTTGATATCTTTTCGGGAACATAGACAAAATGGCGGTCAAAGTAAAGAAAATTTTAAGAAAATTTTTTTAAAGTATAGATTTGAATAAAGCATCAAAATCAAGCATAAGAAATATGCATTAAAATTTTGACATCTCTTCGTGAACATAGAGAAAATGGCGGCCAAAGTCAAAAAAATTTTTAAAAACATTTAGAATTGTATAGAGCATCAAAAATAAGATATAATAGATAAAAGTTATTTTATTTTTTCAAAAAATGGCGGCAAAGTATGATTTTAGCTGTTTATTTTGTCATACCGACTCATCTGATACCCTACATGTCTATAGTCGAGTTTATTATGTCATACCTAATCATTTGATACTTTACATGACTAAAGTTGAGTTTATTATGTCATACTGAGTCATTTGATACTTTACATGACTAAAGTTGAGTTTATTTTGTCATACTTAATCATTTGATACTTTACATGACTAAAGTTGAGTTTATTTTGTCATACTTAATCATTTGATACTTTACATGACTAAAGTTGAGTTTATTTTATCATACTGAGTCATTTGACAATATGACTAAAATCAACTGACAATTAATTTGCTAAGATAATATTTTATGCCGTCAAAGTTTTTTTTCTAATAATGCTTTATAGCATTCTTAACTGGTTTTTTATCTGACTTAAGACAAAATGTATTTTTTTGGTTTTATTAATACCGAAAAAACTATTACATAATTATTGTACAGTAGTTTATAAAAGAGAAAATAATTTAATTCAATATTAATCAATTTATTATACATTATTTTTAATATATTTTTTGAAAATAATATAATTATTAACTATTATTAACAATAAAGTTACATTAATTTAATTATCTTCTTTATAAATTATAGTCGAAATATTTAATAGGATATTTTTTATGTACTAACTTTTAAATTCGTTTTTAATTAACTAAATATTTTATGATTAGATTATATTAACATTAATTATTTATTTGAATAAAAACATTTGATATAAATTATATACAAATTGAATATAATTATGTATTATTATTTTTAAAATAAAAAGTTATTTTTACTTAAATTATATTTAGAAAATATTTTAAATTATACACTATATAATATTTTTTACAATTAATATACTGTGTTTATTATATAATTAATGTTATCCAATTGCATTTGTCTTCAATACAATTCAAATACAATTAAGTAATTGCTATTTAATAATATTTTAATATTGTTTAGATAATTATTTCTTAAATTTAATATTTATACTAATTGTTATAAAAATTGCAATTATTATTTTATCTTAATAAATTTATAATACAATATTAATAATTAAAAATTATGTAAAATTATTTGAATATTTAAATAAAAATGTCATATAAAAATAATTGATAAATTATTATATTATTTATAAGATAAAATTTCAAYATTATTTCCAATTATGTTAAAGCATTTATGCAGATTAATAGTAAGGTATTACCATATAATGTCTAAATAATTATATAAAATAATGCAATCGATATAATTTAATTAAAAAGTTGACACTTTTAGCAAATAATGTTATTTTAGTATTTATTATTAAAGATATAACAAAAATATAAAATGATTATAAAGCAAAAATTTCTACTAAAATTTAATTATATTATCAAATTTTTGTAATACTATATTTTGTAAATTTAAAATGATCAACAACAATTTATAGACATTAATTAAAATTTTAAGTTAAACTAGAATTAATAACATTCATAGAATATATAAATTAAGTTATTTTATTTTATGTGTTATTTTTTATATAGTATTCAAATTAGTATAAATAAATTTTTTATAATTGTAAAATTGATTATTAAAAATTGTACGGTATATTATGATTATCTATTAATAGATTGTATTTATTATATTGTATTATTTAAAGTTTAGCCTCAAAATATATTTATAATATAATTAAAGTACTTTATATTTTATATTAAAATTTATATTATTTCTACGTTATTTTGAATGTAATTATTAAATCTCAATTTTTACTTATTAGTTTTTAGTATAAATTTTTTAATCAAATCTTGATATATGATACATATAATGATTATTATTTTAATAAAAATGTATTAGTTCAATATTAGTTATATTTTTATTGTTTTATATTAAAATTAAGATTAAGCAGTGTTTTTTACTAATAAACTATGAGATCACTAGTTATTTTATAAATATTATAGTAGTTAGTATATATAGTTTATTTTATTTATTAACTAATAAATTTTAAAAATCTAATTTTAATTTATCGTAAAATTTGACAAATTTTGGAAAATTACTTGCTATTCACAAATATATAATTTATCGTATTTAAAATAAGATAAAACTTTAATAAAAAAATACTAATATTTCATGCACTTAAGTGAATATACAAAATATTATTTTGATAAAAGCTAAATATGTTATTCATTAATAAATAGCAATTATTTGTTAGTTTTGTGATAAATAGAGTATTAGATTATCATAAATACAACGATAAGTTATTTCATTGATTCAAATATTAGTTATGAATTCCAACAAATATAATATTTACTTTGTATMATATCTTTAATAATCAATATATATATAAAGTGTATATAAAGTGAATAGTAGTGAAACATAAATTGCTAATTAAAATACTGTAAATGCATTAAATGATTAATTGGTTGCTATTCTAATGTAGAATTTATACATTTTATTTTTCTATATACAAAATTAAATTACAATAAAATATTCAAAATTTGATAATAAACTTGATTACTTTAAAATTGTATTTTAATTAAATTAATTTTATAGAATAAAAAATTAAATATAAGCCATATCAGCCATATAAGTTTTATTATATTATATAATATATATGACAAATGATATATTCTAGATATTTTAAATAAGATTTTATTTGTTTGATATACTCTCTAATTTATTTTAGCAATTATTTGAAGTTATATAACATATGTAATTGAAAAATGCAAAATAAAATTGAAATTTTCACTCATTTTCATGGGTTTCCTATTGAAATCATTCAAATCATATGAAACACTGACTGAGATTTTTTGCTCTTTTATTCAACAAAATTGAAGAAAAATTAGAAATAGTTGAATGCGTAAGAGTCGATGCATTTGTTAATTTAAAATACATTAATATAGTTGTCAGCACTTGGAGTTGAAGTCATATTTGTGGTAAAAATAAGAAAGTTTTTTTGAGTAAGAAATATAACCTTCGGTTAAAAGTTTGAAAATGTTTGAACACAAGTGAGACATCAACTGATTGCTAGTTTAGTGATAAGTTAATTGCAAAACACAGTCTTTTTCTCCCATATTAAACATTACTCTGATATGAGTTTAACACTAATTGAATTCAACACATCTATTATAGACAACGTTTGACATACAATTAGTCTAATTGTCTTTGAAACTGATATAGCTTTGAGGTAAACATTATTTAATAATTTAATCTAAACTTAAGCCAATCATTTAAGTGCTATATTTTGTATATAAGTATGTTTTATCAGTATTTGTTAAAATAGTTAAATAGTCAACTGATTTATTTCTAATTAAAAACTACACGTTTTCTATAGTAAGTGTTATTAATAGTAATTTACAACATAATAATAATWATTATTATATATATATATATATATATATATATATATATATATATATTTGCATTTGTCTATGAAATTTTTAAAAATATTTAGACACTTGAATAATATTAAATAAGCTGCCAAATGGTGTTTTATCATCATTTGTCTTTACTTTTATTGCTATATTTAATAATAAATTAATATAATTTTTTTATTATACTATTATTATTAGATAAATAACAATAAAAACAATCAGTGAAAATGTCTGAAGAGAAAGATAATGCGGGTTTGACTACAACTGAGAAAAATATTATTAGAAATACGTGGGAATTGGTTAAGAAAGATGTGGCGGGAAATGGATACGACCTCTTCATTAGGTATTATTTAATTTATATATATATTATTAAATATATTATTATTATTATTCATACAATTATTATTGTTAGATCTATTAAGTGTTAATACAATAGATGACTCATATAATCATATGATTAAACAAATATAAAAAAATATTATATACAGTGTAATTAAAATAATAATAATTATAATTTTTAAAATATTTAATTTGAAACATTTCTACATAATATTGTCTGATATTTTTATTAATTACTGGTAATGTTTAACTTTGATAATTCAACATACCGTTGATACAAATTTATTAAATATTAAATACAGTACTTTTATACAGATATACTTTGATGTTTAGATATACAGTAATATTAATTTTATAATAATTAATGACAACTCTTAATAATTTAGTATAATTTATTCACTTATATTATTATTGACTATTATTGACAGTAAGAACTCATTTGTTAAATAGCATCGCTTTAATATTAAAATATCTATTAAAATATTGAAACAATTAATAGTTAATAATGTTTGTATAACAAAATTAATAAAATTTTTAATAAATTAATGAAAAGTAGTTATTATATTTGTATTAAGTACTATTAAGTAGAGATTTAAATCTTTAATATCAGTGTATAAGTAAATTAAGTACATTATATGAAAGTAAATGAATAAATGAATGTATAAATAAAAGATTATAGACTAACAATGTTATAGAAAAAAACTAAAAATCAGTCAACTGTTATACAATAAGTTAAACCCATTTATATATCATTTTTACTATTATTGTATAAATTAAGTTTACTTTCTGTTAAATACAGTAAAAATATTTTTAGTATTCAAATAAAAAAATTTAAATACAAATAGAATAAATAGTAATAGAAATAGAAATATATTTCTAAAGAATCTATTGATTATATTTACTAAATATTTTTCATATGTATATAATTTACTTATTTTTCCAGCACTTAATAATCTATTATAAATTATAGTAATGATTATCTTTACTGCAAAAAATAAATAAATTAGATTTAACTAAATATGATTGAATAAAACATTTTAACTGTTAATAACATATGCATTTGATAGTCTCACTTATCCGTTATAATTGAAGATAATTACTCTATTATGTAATAATAAAGGAATAATTATTCATCAACTTTATGAAAAAATATTTCATTTATAATTATATTCTCAAATATTTTATTTATATTATAAAGATTTATTTTGTTAAGTTATACAAAATGTGTTAGTTAACTATAAATAAATTATAAAACATCTTAAATGTTTAATAATTTTATTAAAATTTTAACTGTACAACTACTGTATTTACTAATATTAATTATAATTTTAATARTAATATCTGTTGGTAATATGTTTACTATAATTTATTTCAATGTCAAGTTGCTATCAATATAAATAAATGATTTTATACTAAATTATTGATTGTATATAATAATTTACTTTAAAAATCTAAAATTTATAAATTTCTTATTTTCAACAAATAAAATATTAAATATGTTAAGACTTTATGGTATTTTTAATACAAATACAAACAATATCCTTAATATACTGTWTTTCTATTATTTTCATTAAATATGTGTTAAAACAGTTGACAAGACGTCAATTAAATAAACAACTTTATTATTAGTGATTATTAAGAAAAAAATATTTTTTATAAAAAATGTTATACAAGTTTAGAAAATGTATGATATTAGCTAAAAAAATAATTTTTATTTTTAATTAATGCATAGTTATTTAAGTCATGGAAAATACTTTTAATAATAAATTTAATAAAATTATATACTGTATATATATATATATATTTACTTAATACAGTATCAGATTTAATATTTACGTAAATCTGGAAAATTGTATAAATTWAAAAGTGAAATATTGATTAATTATAATTAAATATACATTTTTAACTAATGTATAAAATTATAGATTTTTTGACGAAAACCCAACATATCAGCAGTTATTTAAATCATTCAAAAATGTGCCCAAAAGTGAGTTGAGGGGTAATAAGCGTGTGTTGGCTCACGCGACCAATGTTTTATATGCCATCTCTATGCTCGTCGACAATATCGATGACACAGAAGTATTGGTTGAAATGCTGAAGAAGTTGGCCACAAACCATCAAATGCGTCACATTTCGTATAACATGTTTGAAAATCTCAAGATTACATTAGTAGGACTTCTTAAAGACAAATTGGGTTCAACTCTCATGAATGACGAAGCAATCAATGCTTGGGATAAGACTTATAATGTCATCCTCTCTGTTGTCAAACCAGTCTTAGAAAATGTGACCGAAAATGAATGAGTTATAAACTATACAATAATTGACAACAAATATATTTATACAGTTGTCGTACGGCTTATAATTTGATGTCATTTATTATAAACACTCAATTTTAATATATATTTGTTATTAATTTTAGTTGCTTTTACTAATCAATTATAATACAATTAATCTCATGGCTTAAAAGATTTGGAAAAATATTGTCTTTAAATATTTGTCTCACATTTTATATCTAACTTATATAATGATTATTAAATGTTTTAGATTTTCTATTAAATTGAAATGTTTTACTAGTTTTATTACATTTATATTTTATTTAAAAATTATTTAATTATATTAATGTTATTGAAAAATTTAGGATCATATATAATAATGTAATTCAAGTTATAATTTGTATTATTTTATATTATTAATAAAAAATAAAACAACATGAAATAGTATTTTTTAATTTAATTCAAAACAATTAAAGTATCAAATATTAATAAGTATATCAAAATTAATATATTCATTATATAAAATTATACATAATAAATGATTTAATCTAATTAATTATTTATATAACAAAAATATAGAATAATAATAAATGTCTAGAATTTTCTAATTATTTTATAATTTACTAATTTTTGGTTAATCTACTGTTTAAGTACAGAAAGAAATACAGTAATTAATAGTACTATAGCTATACAATTGAAGTTATTTAACTATTTTTATTGATATCAGATAATGAGCTCATATTAAATACGAGTATATTATATAAAAATAAGCGTTTATACAAAATTTTATTTTACATATAAATAACTTTTTAAGTCGTTATTAACTTTAATCAACTTTTGCTTAATTTTTTAACTAAAATCCTTTAGTTTAGCATAATTTTAGTCACAAAAATTAAAAAACAATAATTTCTAAAATTAATAAAGCAATTAAGTAAAAAATAATGTTTTAAGATAATAATAATCACATCAAAACATTTAACGTTAGATGATTTGTCATTAAACAAATAATTTTGTCTTACAATTACTGACAATAAACGTAGTTTTTATATTATGAATTTATTTTAAATTGAAACTAATTGGATTTTGATAAAATATTTTATCAAAAAATTAAATTATGCATCATAAATTTAATGCAGAAAAAAAGTTATTACTGAAAATTGCTTGAAAATAAATAACTTTTAAGTAACTTATCAATAGAGACATTAAAAATATATTAATTATTTAATTATTTATCATTTATACTGTATTTATTAGATTCTGCAGAGAAATTCTGTTGTAAAACATAAAAATTTTGCAATAATTACTGAAAATTTTCATTTTGTTCTAAATATAAGAATATATTAATAGCAATATGTTTATCGAAAATGTTGTTAATTTGTGCAAAACATATAAAAAGTTCAATTTTATTAGTTATATAATCATTGTTTATTGTTAAGTAAAAATAAAAATTTTATTAATTAAATACTGTACAATATTTAAATAATATAAAACAATTAAACAATTAATACAATTAATTTTGTTAAAATAGAGATTAAAAATTTTAGTTWATTAAGGATTAGTATTATTTGTGATAAGAGAAGTGAGTTTATATAACTTACTGTTATTGACTATTATTATAAATTAAATGATAATTAAATTAAATTAAAAAACATTTGTCATCACATTTAATACATTAATAATAAATATATAAGACATTGCTTTTACAAATTGTAAATTACAATTGACTACAAAATATTGCATTTAGTTTTTATATGACTAAAACTATTTTATTGAACGACAATCTAATAATGTTATGTAAAAGTTGTATACATTTTGAAAGTCCTGTTATTTACATATGTTATGTACAGTAATACTGTATTAATACAATTGTATTATAAATGTTAGACTCATTGAATGTATTGTTRATTGAGTGCATGACTTGTCTTCAAAGTTGACAACAATTGACAAACTAATAGGTATTGTATTTAATAATAAAGTATTGAATAAATTGTTATTTGTTTTCAATTCATTCAATTTGACACAAAATATAGCAAAACATTAATATTTCATAAGATTTACACTTAATATTTGTTTACATTTATGTTATTTATTTACAAATCATATGTTTATCAATTGATTGCTATTTTTAGTGATTATTATATGTGACTGAAGTGAGTGAAGACACTTTGAATCACTTGTAGTCATCATTTTGATTGATATTTGTGTATCAGATCCTAATTGTCTGGTATTACCACTGATTAGTTCATATTATGAGCTCAAACACACAACGGGTTTGGCAGGTATTTAATGGTTTGATATATTGACCGCTTGATGATCACCTAAACTGATCCATTTATTGTTGAAATGTCTTACAGATAATTAAGCCACACATACCTTTGATTAGATTCAGAAAAGGAGCTGATCTTCACAAAACTGGTACCAAATTATTTAATATAATTGATTTATAATTGTTTTAATTATTTGTCATCAGAAGTATTGTCTGTATCGGCCACGAGTTCTTCGAGTCCACCCATTGGGTCGACACCACGAGGAAGTGGTATCGATGAAGAATTGATACCAAAGAGATACCAACGAAAACCAATATCACAACAGGAGATGGAAATCATTGAAGTATTTTATATTTGATTTAATTATTAATTTATAGTTTAAATACTAATTTAATTAACATTTATTTGGACAGAGAGGCGGACCCGATATACTTTGATTAACATCTTTATTGTATAAAAAATATATATATATTTAGAGCTAATAATAATTAATAATATTAATTGAGTCCTAGTTATAAAATTTTTTAAAAATATAAACTTATTGTAGATATTATAGACATTAATAAAAGTATAATTGAATTAAATATACAGTAATTATAATAAATGTATAATTATTTTTAAAAACAAATTATTAAATTCAATTGAATGCAAATCCTTTGTGAAACAGTTGAGTCAAACGAAACGAAGTTTTGTCGACCAATTTGTAAAATAGTGTCAACAATATTATAAATATACTCTCAAACAAAACTTCATTTATATGTATAGTATAAACGGTATATATTAGTCAAACAAATTATGATTTATATTATTAAACAGTTAGAGTACTGGCGGCAGGCATTTGAAAACCACGGGCCACTTGTATTGGATGCGTTGCAAATAAACAAATTGGTAGATCCCAGACCATAGTCTGGACGTTGAGAAATGGTGGCGATTGTTCGCTAACTCCCTGTGAATCCTGTGTAACAGTATTGCGGACGTCCTCCGGCTTTGCCGTCACAAACTCGAAGTGTAATTTCCAAGAAAGTGATACTAAATCACTTGTAAAAGTTGGTGTTATAGTCAACGGCACCGTCAGAACCATTTGCGTGTGATTCATGTGAAGACAAAACTCGTTGTAATTGCTATAACTAGTTGTTTGAGTATAAGAGGAAGGCTTCAAATCTTTGACACGATATTCCTCTTGAATTGTTTCATCACATTGTAGAGTCACTGAAAACTAATTATATAAAAGAATATATTAACCACTTTTGATAAAAACAAGACATTTATCAACAATACCTGTACACATGGAACGGTAGATTCATTAAAACTAAAAATGCCTACAATATCTTCGCCTAATTTATAAGTAGATTTCATTATACAAAGTTTGGCCACTTTTCCAAATGGATTTGTTATGACATAACTCTGAGGACAACGCTTAGCYGTCAGACAATCGAGTCTATGGAGGGAAACATCCAAAACGGATTCATTGCTGAAGTCAATCGGTTCGTAGGTGTGATTCACTGAGTGATTGCTGACCACTGAGTCTTTACGATTAATATCATTATTACAATCATTGTTTAGCTCATAGTTTTGATGATTGATTTTCATTGAATCGGTCACTAAACCAATAGGTATATCAATAGTAAGGATACGAATAGGGATTCTCAACAACTGAATGCTTGAGTTAATCCTTTGAGTGCCAATCGATAGTTTGTACTGATATTTAACTTTGAGGCCATTATAAGAGGGCGGAACCCAATCGGGAACAGTTTCATTATAGACAAACGACTTGCTTTCATTTGGCATTAGTTTGAGATCACAAAACAATATCTTAGGACTGGAAGAAAACAAGACGCGACCCTTTTCTCCCTTCATTAGACACGGATTGAAGGACGTGTCGGTCGACGATATCACTGCAGCCATCAATGGCGACTCGTTTTGTACTACTTTGGTCTCATCTACACTACAGTAGCAATGGAGCTGAACTCCGGCCCAACAAAGAGTTTCAGAGAAATCACTGTTTTTGACGATTAAAAAACAATTTAATTATTTTGGTTTCAAATGATTAATCAATTGATTCATTTCATACCTATCTTTAGGTTGAATGGCTTTACCATTGCTGGTGCCGACAGTGTGGTTGACCTTATCGTTGTGGTTACGGTTGTGATGATTGCTAACGGGAACGGGTGTGACATTAGTCAAAGTGACCACACATTTGATTGTCTCCGATCGGAAGTAAACGGCTCCACGACTTAGCCTCGCATTGATCTCAATCATGTCTTTTGATCACTTGATAAACAAACACAACATTAAAGTTGATGTTATGATACCAAACAATTGGATGTCCCGACAGATGAATGTCATATCAAATCAAGTGATGATTTGTTTATTTCTTGCCATCCCTTGTGTGCGCATGTCTTCACTCATCTCAAACCACGACCTCTATATCACAAACCGGGGGATCAGTCGTTGCTTTCATTGATTGACCACTTATTTTAAGACTTTATATCAGTTTTCATTTATTTGGTGATTGTGTTATATCTTTAAAATATTTTACTAAACAAATACATTGTCTTAGAGTGTGTCCCAAGAGGTGGCAAATGAGGTCAACAACCCATCCATTGGTTTATTGAGAGATCACATGATTTGACGGCATTTACAGCAAAACACGCAAATAAATGCAAAGATTGTGCCATTGATTGACATTTATTTGGATGTATTAAGTGATGACCAATACGTGATTTAATACATTTAATTACTGTTACATTAATTTAATTACAATTGTTAGTCATTATGGATGAGGAAATAAAGTGTCCGCATTGCGGATCAACTAAATATAGAAATCCATCGTTAAAATTGATGGTCAATGTCTGTGGACATGCATTGTGTGAGACATGTGTGGATCGATTGTTTATGAAGGGTTCCGGACAGTGTCCTCAATGTAATGTCAATCTTAGAAGAACTAACTTTCGACTCCAACTATTTGAAGACCATTTAGTCGAAAAAGAAGTCGATATTCGCAAAAGGATTTTAAAGGACTTTAACAAAAAACAAGAAGATTTCGCATCTCTTGAGGAGTTTAACAACTACTTAGAACTAATCGAAACTATTGTCTTTAATTTAACTAATGATGTCGATATATTGGCCACAAATAAATTGATTGATAACTACAAGAAAGAAAATGCCACTCAAATCATCAAAAGCAGAAGTCGTTTGAGTAAAGATGAAGAACTAATTGAGGAACTGCTCGAACAAGAAAGACAACAAACACTTCTTAGGACTCAATTGATTATTAGTGAAAACAAAGAATCGGCCAAAAGTAAAGTAAAACTTCGGGAATCTCTGGCCGATGAACTCATGTTTTCTGATGCATCGGCACAACAAATACTGGCCAATCATAACAATGAAATGAAAGTACAATCTTCTGAAATGACTAAAAATATGGACGTCTTATCATTGACAGCAAAGCAACAGACAAAAGCATTTTCAACCGGTATTCTTGTAGGAAAAGGAAGCAATGTTTTTGACCAAAATGTAAGACAACCGGAAGGAAAGTCTTATGTTTACAAATCACCTCATTTTGAGATTAACGGTCCCGACTGTCCTCATTTGGTCGCAATTCAGTCTAATGGTTACTTGAATAATGTTAGACCTGCTTCTGGTCAAGACTTGGCCGGGGGTTTCCTCACCCACTTTCCGTGTCATCGGGCACTTCAGGAAGCATTTTGTGGACTTTATTTCAAAATTTAATTCTTTATTCTTACTCTTGTAATCATTGAAATCATTTATTTTCTATAATGCTTTTGATAAACATTTAATAAAATCATTTTTGATTAATAATTTATTTGGAAAATTGTAATATTTTTAAAATTTAGATATAAATTATTATTTAAAATATTCCTAATTGTGATGTTAATTATAATAATAGACTAAATCACAAAATACATAGTATTTATAGGTATTATTGGCCAAACGTCCCGCCGTGTAATATAAGAAACGAATCACGACTTATGTGATCAAAATAAGTCTCTTTTGAATTGAATTTTATTTTGTTTTGTTTTTTTTGTTTTTCAAATTCATATAAATTACTTCTTCCGTCAGTAAATTTGAATATTTTTGGCCATTTAATCACTGATGGATTGTCTTCTTCTTTAAAATATGTTTGCGATGGATAACCGATTGAATTTTGGTTAATATCGTTGACATTTTTATTAGTTGTTAGTCTTCGTCGTTGAAATAATTGTGGCGAAAATGGATCAAATGGTGAATCAAAATTCTGGAACAGTTCGGGCATATTTGCAAAATTGTAGAAAGGATTTACTGGTTGTTCTTGTGATGGAGGAGGAGGTGGTGGTGGTGGGGGTGGGGGTGGTTCCTGTTGAATAGGCTTTGCTTCATTTGATGGCTTTGGTATCCTTTCAATGTCATTATGTATGAGAAACCTTTCATCTTCAATATCATTGATATTAATTGGTTGTGAAATTGGATTATAATTATGATTTGGTTGCTCCGGTTGGTGTTGTGGAGGCATTGGGTTCGGTATTATTTGAGAAATTTGTTGAGAAGTTGGATAATTTGGTTGCAGATTTGGTTGAGTTATATGTGAGACAATTGGTTGTATGGGCTGAGGATTTGAATGATATGTGATATGTTGTAAATGTGGTATATGTTGTGGAAAGGGATGAATAATTGGTTGAATTGGTTGTATTGGTTGTGGTAGTGATTGTGGTAATTGTGGATCTCTATTGTTCTGAATGAGTCCAATGGGTGCCGGTGTCTGAATTTCTACAGGAATTGGAGGACTGGTTGTTGACGTACCAAATCTTCTGTCATATATTCTATAAATATCTTCTGGAAAGTTAGCGTATGGTTTGTCAACAAAATTATTTTCAAATATTGAATTTGGGAATTGATTGACGTGAGGGTTAAACGGCAAAGAAGGCAGTGATGGCACTGAAGATAGCGATGGATTCGGCAGATATGAGGTTCTCCTTATATGACTTATGGCACCCCCTCCGTGATCTATATATACTACCTCCTGATGGGCGGCTGCTGTTTGCGGGCCATGACTTGTGTCACTGTATATTAGGTCCAAATTGTTATCAATTTCTTTATCAATTTGCTTTGATTCACATATTAGCAAAAAGTTATATAAAATAAATGCTAAAAATAAAAGTAAAATTGACGACCAGTTTGAAAAAGAATGGCCTCTAATATACTGAAAAATTAGAGAAAATAAAAATTCATTAAAAAACTAACATAAAAACTAGTAATTAATAATTACAACTTTATTTGCATACATTTAACATTTATATCTTAATAGAGTAGTATAATAGTGTTTATATGGCAAACAATAAGTTTTAAAAACTATATTTATATTTGTGTTAGACTACAAAAAAAGTCTTATTATAATAACAAAACAGAGTCAGACTAATTAAAAATGTATAATATTTGTATACAATGTAATTAATATGAGTAATTTGTAGCTAAATTAATATACATTGTGTTTATTAAAAATAAAACATTTAATGAAATAGTCGCTACAATTAAGAGAAATGTTTTATTTTAAGCGATTTATTTCATAGTCTAAAACAATGACCAAATGAAAATATATGCAAAAAGTTATGAACTCAGCAAAAAAAAGTTTATGACAATTAAACTGAAAACTAAAAAAAAATATTTACTATAAATAGCATTATTGTAAGTATTTTTCAAATAATAATAATAAGAATTAGAATTATAATAATGAGATTAATTTTTAAAGAGAGATATGTTAACAAAAAATTATTGCCGTATTTAGTATAACACTATTTATGTAATTATCTGATTTTGATAATAATATAAATATTAGGATTATCATAAATCTTACCATAATTTTGAAATAAAAATTTTAAAAACAAAAATAACTAGAGATAAGTTGAGAATCTCGTTTAAAATTCACATTTTTGGTACAATGTTTGTTGAAAAATATCACCCACTGTTGTCTTGAATTTTTGGTGATAATCCAAACTGTTTAAGAATCCAATTAAAAATAGATATATAAAATAATAAAAATTAATATAATTGTTGTATAAGAAAACAATTACATTTGATTGAATAAACTTATTGAAAGATTGGATGAAAGAGTACAATACAGTTGTCAATGGGTTGCAGAGTGAGACCCACTATAGGATTACTGTCTCTCATATCACGACTTTAACAATACAGACACACAAACAGCCAAAAAAAGTTTGATTTCAGTTTATAGTGAATACTATAGACTGATATATTCTGATGTATTGTTTGTATGTATATTGCAATCACTACCTCGTCTTCCTTTAAGTTAGTGCTCAAGAGTTATGAGTCGTTGAGCCTGTGTTGGGTCAGTGGGTCGACTGATGAGACTCACGCACATACAGTACATACCAGTCCTCTCTATAACAGCAAAGGAAGTAATACAACGAATACGAGTAGAGAAAAGAGCGATCCTTCTTAAAGAGGACAACACATCCAATGTTAGACGACCCACATCTCCACCAAAAACAACACTACACTATAATATCCAAGCGTTTGACTAAACAAAACAATTTCCAGTATTGTACACAACTTTTATAGCTTTTATCAATAGTTTTAAATAAATGCCACTTTTATGTCATTTATTAAAGTAATTTCACAATTATTTACAACTTATTCTTACAGTTACTTTTATATACTAATATATAGACAAATTTCAAATTCACTTTTCAATTAAAATTAATAGTATAAAACTTTAAATACAATAATATATTTTTTATTCATAGCTTTTTACGATAATTTTTTATACATTAAAATAGTTTTAATAGATTAATAAGCTTAAAAATTTCTGTTATATAAATCTTAGTGATTATTATTAACAAAAATCCTTTTGTTATTATTAATGTTTTCAAAACTTCACTGAAGTTATTATTTTTAAACAATTTTTTAAAAACAAACTCGACTTATTTGAAAGTTTGCTTAATTTTTAGACACTTTTTATTTTAATGACTTTTATAATATAAACACAGCGATACAAACACACAATAATTTATTGTCTTTATTTTGTGCAAAATAAAGCAATCTTATTGTTTGTGAGAAATAGCTAAATTTTATTTAAAACTCATAATAATTTTAAAAGTAATTATTTATTACATAAGATTGTATTATATAAAAAATAATGTCTGTAAAGTTGTCAAATAATTTCTATGTTTTATGTATAAACAATTACTTATTTTTAATAACAGTTAGAAATAAAACTGTTAATTATAATTGACTGACAAAAAAAAATTTCAATTCAATGTGGTTTTATATACAAAAGCATTTATATTTGCTAAGCAAACATTAATTGAGGCAAAATAAGAATATTTTTTATAATGGCTTATAATTGCAAAATTTTATATAAAATATTACAAAACTTCAACAATAAAGTAATATATTTAGAGTTTTTGGTTGGATATATGTTTTGTCGCTAAATTTAATAACACTGTTATGAATGGGTAAACATGAAAGAGTAGATAATATTAATCTAAAATATCTTAAGTACAGTATCAGCCCTTGAATATACACTTCTAAATAATAATTTTTATTATTATATTTATAAATAACAATTAGATTTATACTATAATATAATACGATAATATATATAAATTACTTAATATACATATAAGTTATACAGTATGTTATACATTATATATTAAAAATAATATAATATAATAATATATTATTACTGCTGCATATACTATTAATATAGTTATATTATAGACAGGAATATAAATGTATTTTGATTTGTTTGTCATTAAATATGTCTAAATTTCCTGTAAAATTTTCTATAAAAATGTTTGATTAGTTAAATTGTATTTTTTTCAAATAAACACTAATTGACTGATATATTAGTGTAAAGTTGTCTTAAAGGAAACAGCCCTGTATTAGGTATGTATTAGGTCAGGGGCGACACCAATACATATCACTACTACCTTCCTATAACTTAAGTTATATTTGTTAAAACATTTATTTAAAATGCAATTTTTGTCTTTAATTTTTAAAAATAAAATTATTAATAAAAAGCATTTGAATGCTTTCATATAATAAATTGCTTTGTTTTATGCCATATACAGTATGTTTAACATAACATTTTATGCATAGCAAACATAATAATAAACACCCAAACAATTAAAAAACATACATTTTTTAATTGATTTCTATTTTTGACATAACTTTTACATTACTTTCACATATTCATAATACAATACTCGTTATTATTATTATAAATATTATAAAAGACTTTATTTTAATGATGACCTCATTATACAATATACAGTAAGTTTTTTTGTATTTAAATGAAAACCATTTTTTTATACTTATAGCTCTTTTATGTATAATTACCTATTAAATCGTGAAGATTTTCTCTTTCAATAATTTATTAGAAATAATATTTTTTTTGTGTCATATATACACAATTATATGTACCTGTAATTAAATGTATAAATAGTCAATTTATCCATAAAATTCAATAATTATTATTTACATGTAATTGAAATCAAAATAGGATTATTACAATATTTTTAAGAGACAATATATGAATATTAATTTACGTTTATATTTGCCTACATTTTAAATTTTAATGAATTCATTGTTATTAAATGATTTCATTATATAAATATTTTCATTAAGCATTGAAACTAAAGTACAGTATAATTATTCACTCATAAAGAGTGAAAGTTTTTTTAGACAAACCTTCATTTAAAAAAAATAATATA